ATCCATAAAGCGGTATTTAACTAATATTTAATTTATTCTACCCTTCTATGATTGGTGCGGTAACTGGAATCTGAAGGCTACATATAGGACACGCGAACTCTCGGAAAACTTTATTATCCGTCCAACCTTTTCTCTATCATTATTGCGGCAGTTTGACTTCACCTGCGGCAATCTCCTGCATTCGGGGCTCGCACAATCACTCGATGATGACAAGCAAAAGCACAACAGTTATACTCCACTATATAAAGCCACAGAAATACACTGATAATACGCAGAACTCTGTTTGTAAATTGCGCAGCACAGCATGTACAGTACATATGTAAATCACGCAGAGCCATAGAAATTTTCCCGTTGTTGCACGAAATGCGGGCAGTAAGAATACAATTGGGTCAGTAAGTAAGTCAATTGCAGTAAGTCAATTGCGTACGTTATTCCGTATATGTATAGCATGTGTATGTTGTACCATCTGTATGTGATAGTACAAATAGCGATAATTTTGAATTTTATAACTTTTTATATAATATTAATTTGCGCCTCGGCGTCGCTGAAGAGTCATCGGATGAAGCAGAAATTAAGAATCAGATATAAGAATTAAGAATCAGATATAAGAATTAAGAATCAGATATAAGAATTAAGAATCAGATATGAAAGTGCCGGGACTTGTTCAAGTTTGAGCCTCGTAGTCATGAAGCGCCTCGTCTCTTATCCTCTCGTGTCCCAAACACGTGCAGTAATCAGAGCCCCACGACACAGGAAATAACTTCTGTAATGACTTAACTGGTAAAAATAATCGTCTGCTAATCAATCGGGACCAGATGGAGGCTCCATATGCATGTTATGTCGGTTATACGCGTAGAATTTCCTACCATTTTCCTACAATGAGCCTCTAATCAGGGTATTTAGTTGTTCATATATTCTCATTAATGAGAGCTATGAGCCTGGCGTTGCACCGCGTCTTCGAGTTATCTGTCACTTGAATATACCACGTCACTTTGAACGTTTAGGTTTGCGTAAAAAAAACGTTCAGTTTCTTGCCACCGAATTCATAAAATTGTATCAAAATTAAAACTAATTACATGAAAACTGAAAAAAAGAGAGCTCATTAGATCTCAACCAAAATTTTATTTCTCTATAAAAACATCATCAATTTTGAAGTTTTATAGACACAATCATCACTGCGAGGCCTGTCTTGAGGCACAGATTTCTAAGACCGTGTATAATAATAAGATGTTCTCATGTACGCACTACACAACTGTTGGCACAAGACTGAGCAGCTGGAGTTCACCGACTCGCGGTCTGCTGTGTTCACGCCAGGCAGTTGCCAGAGGCAACCGCATGCCTCAACAGCTGTTGCAGCGGGGCAGGAGTATATTATAAACATGCCATGTAAAATTCATACTCACTGCTATTAGGGTGCCCCGTCAACTGAAAAATGCATGTACTGCTTGGTCATGAGATTTAGCAAAATTATGTTGATACTCATGGTGTAAATTAATCCATATTGTAAAGTAGAATTGATTATGATGAAAAAATATTTTAATTTGACGCCAGCGGTAGTGTCACGCCGATAAATTGGATCAGCTTTAACTTGGCAAAATTTCTTTCACTCAAAATGCTAATCCATTCTTTCCCTCTCTTTATCAGGTCCTAAAACGCCATTCACGTTTTAAAAATAGTATTCAAAGAAATAAATATCAATGGCCATTTAGCTTTCATTATAATCTTGAGATATAATTTTAGTCTTTTCTGCACGTGTGACTAAAGACCACGCAACAGGCAGAAGTCCAAACCTGGAAAGCATCGTTCACTTAACAACACTAAACTGCAAACAAATAACACCAAATATTTCTGATAAAATATTTTTGAAGAATGAGTATTGTAAATATTTTCTAAGAGTTTCTTATCTTATATTATTTAATTGACAAATGTAGATGTGATAGAATGACCCGAGTTGCTCAATCGCAATGATGCCCTGAGTTATCACCAACACGATACCGCGAAGTGCGACGAGAACGAAGGCATGTGGTGATAATAAGTGGTGAAGTCATGCTCAAGTGCTCATACAACCTATTGTCAGGGAAAGAATTCCTCACTAAATAAACGTCATTAACCGTTTAAATGGTCGGCTGAAGGTTCACACTGCCCAATTGTGTATTAATATCAAGTATTAGCTAGGATCGTTAAACAATTACAAAAAATAAGTATGCACTCTTGCTGTCTCATATTCAATTCAACCCCAGTTTAACAATAATATCCCACAAACGTGGGATATTGGGTGAGAAAATGTAGTCACTCAATCACTTTTTTGCTCAATCCACACTTTGTTTTTTTTTTTTTGTACAAGAAGTAATCTTCACTAATTAAGCTAAATTAATCACTAAAGGCCACCAGAAATTTCGTCAGAAGCTATCTATGCAATCGTATTGTGGGTATATTAAGTTACATCGTAAGCAAAAATAAACATTGAACAGACGTTGTTGCGCTATACGCACCTAACGCATAAGTCAGGTATCCATGCAGGACCGTGCTGAGGCATGTTAAGCGTGCTGCATGCCTGCGAGATTCTCAGCGCACAAAAGAGAATGCTGCTTACTCTTGCGCGTAGAATTACATGGACTATGGCTATTGTGGTGCCGTAGCTGTCGTCCACTTACGCTAGCGTTGCTTGGTAAATATATTCCCTAGCATGCGAGAATCCAGTTCATTCATATTTCACTGATAATATAATATAATATAATATAATATAATATAATATAATATAGTATAGTATAATATAATATAATATTCTTCATTGCACAGCCCGCACAGTCTCCTGCTGTCCCGCTGCAGTGACACTCTGCTCACTGTGCGCCCCGAACGCAGTCATAGCCGTGCTGGTCATATATTTATAGGCAAATGAAGTTGAATCTTCGTTTAGATTCAAGTTCAATCTTAGTTTAGATCGTTGAAACATCGTTGATTACGAGTTTAGATCGTTGAAACAACGTTGATTACGTGTTTAGTTCGTTGAAACATCGTCGATTTCGAGTTTATAGTTTGTTGAAACATCGTTGATTACGAGTTTAGTTCGTAGAGATATCGTTTAATCAACGTTATTTCAGCGGCAGTTGCCCGCACACCAGTTTCCTTCCTCTGCAAGGAGCGTGTCAAATGAACCAGTCAAATGACGTCGAAACAACGTTGATTACAAGTTGGTTTTGTTGAAGAAATAACTCGATCATAAAATAACGTTAATTTAACGTTAGTTGCCTGGTTTGTAATGGTTTTGACACGCACATCGCAGAGGGAGGGAACTGGTGTTCGGGCTCGCAGCGGTTTTTTCGTGGCAGGAAATATAGTTTCTAGTTTGTTTCTTTTGATCTTGGTGGTTAATTTCAATTGTATTTTAGACCGCAATATACAGAGGCTGAGGAAAAGAGTAAATTCTAGCAACATTTGCATTATTTACAAATTATCAGGTAGGCAATACAATTTTTCAAAGATTATTTATTTGTTCCTAAATTACAAACCTCATGGCTGGATACATGCGTGTAAAATAAATATAGTAAATTTGATATACGAAACAGAAGTGAAATAAAAACCCTTACAAATTTGTGGAAATTTGGTGGTATTATTTGCAAAACGTGGCATGTTATGCGAAAATGAATCGAAATACGTTAAATGATTGGGAGCTGTTAAAAAACATTAATCCATTGAAAATAAATGGTAAATGAATTATATAACTATAGGTGACGTAATTTCTGAAAAATGTGCCTCTTATCAATGCGCGAGATATAATTAAATTGCTTCAATATCTCCTAGTTCACAGCTGATTAAATACGAGAGGGGCATTCTAGATACCAATAGGCTTCAGACAAGCAGACACGCAAACAAACAAACAAAAGCAAACATCATATCTGTTATATGTTTCATAATATCTATATTATGTTTCATAATATCTAAAATATGTTTCATAACATCTATTATACGTTTCATCGTATCTATTATATGTTTCATCATATCTACTATATGTTTCAACATATCTATTATACGTTTCATTATATCTAAAATGAGTTTCATCATATCCATTATAAGCTTCAGAACGTATGCGGATTAGGTTTAATTGAGTCCTCGATAACATACCGTCTCATCAGATCGTTGGAAGTATGAGTATTACCATGGGGTATTAGAAGCGAAGATTAATTTATGAAACCAAAAATCAATTTATATATAAATAATTATTGAGTGATCACAGTGAGCATTTACTTATAGTTCAATCATAAAAGATCCCACTGCGTTTCGCACAATACTGCTGGGACTGCACAGCAACAATAATTTCATTCATTTATTTTACAAAGTGCCCCCAGTTAATTTTCAATCAAAGCCTCATTTAAAACGTTTGGTAAAGTTTCGGAAAATGTGATGTCTCTAAGTTCTGTGAGAGTTTTTGAAATCTGCTCACCCAGAAACACTGAGTAACGAAATCAGCTTCCAATCAATGTTTTTTCCGACTTTGTTGATAGACCGCTCGGCCTACAACATTTTAAGCGTCCGTGTTTTCCAATCTTCATGATCGCCTTTCCTACAAAATTACTGATTATCCCAAAGCCCTAACAATTATTTGGCATTTTATATTTGAACTGGGATTACCATTAGCAGATATTTACAATGTACAGAAAAACATAAGGACCGAGCATTGATAGTTTAGTGATGCGAAAAACTTTAAATGTTTCAAAGTTAATGTTTCAATTGATAATTTTCGTTAGCCTTATTTCGTCTCTAGAAATTAATTGCTCTTCTCAATGGCTCATGAGAAAAGTATTTGAACCGTAAAGTTTCTTATCCTATTGTGTTGTTATTCTGACCTAAAATTTTGTCCTCTCATCCAGAGTGTCATTATTAATTTTACTTTGTACATTAACCCCAAATAGTTACAATAACCGCTATTTACCATGTTTTCCATACCCGCACTTACCAATTAGCTTTTTATATTTCAGTTTATTGATGTATATATATTCATATTTCCATTGATTTTCATACACATTGAGACAATATAGGATGCATTTCGAAGACCTCCTCGCCGAGGCGGGAGGTTTTGGCTTGTACCAGAAGGTGCTGTGTTTTGTCCTCATCCCCTTCACAACGGGCATCGTGGGGTTGGTTTACACATGCCAGCTTATCATTCTGTCGGTCCCGCGGTTCCGATGCGATCAGAATCAAAGTCTGGAAACCTTGATTTCGGCAGAAGGTTCTGCTGTTTTGGACACAGACGTAGGCCATCCTCAAGTTTTAACTTCGGTAACATTTTTCTTATATAACACTAATCCATGTTGAATTCGTAATGAAAAGGCATATTAACTGCTGTAAGGTACAACTTATTAATTCTCATTCAATTAATAGAAACGTAACCATTTAAACGATGGCTAAGATATTTCTAGTTATGAAATTAGTTAATTTTCATCTAGGCGACCGAAGACTCCTGTTCTATATATAAAACTTGGAAGACTCCTTCTATATATAAAACTTGGATGCACCCGAATGAATAGATGTAGAAAGAGATCTTTCACATTGTTTCGTCTCCCTCGATTATAAAATCTTGTTCCATGAATCTAAAATCTTAACGCAACTTCAAAAGGTAAACTAAACTTCATTCTCGTATTCTGTTAGGGGCTCCAGGGTTTGGATTACGAGTGGGACGGGAGCTGTGAAGCGGGGGATTCTGCTCCGTGTCGCGCCTGGCAGTACGACTACTCCAACATTTTCCCCACGCTAGCTTCCGAGGTTAAAGATATACACAGTAATGTATTTACTTGTTAAATTTACTATGTAATTTACAGTTAAAAGAAGTTGATGCATGGAACAAAAATGTATAAATCGAAACCTAAATTCTGAATGCATTATTTTTTCAAGTTTCGGCTATGCTTAGTGAAACAATTTTGATAGAATAGAATAGAATAGAAGTGTCGGCGTTGAAGAAATAGGCCCATGGCCTGTTGCCGATTCTTGAACTTTTCGTGACTTGATTCACAAGGGATCCGGCCTTTGGAACCCGATCTTTCTATAGCTTCTTGACCTTCAATATGCTTAGAAAATTTCAACTCATTGTCGATATTAACTCCAAAATCCTTTTCCGTTGTTTCCGTTCCTTCTTAAAAAGATACGTACAGCGAATATCGAAGTAAGTTTCCGTGGATTCTACCGTGTGCAGAGATCCATTATCAGTTCGTACTGCATACAAAATCACTGGTAACTGAACAATTACACATTTATCTCCGCTGCAGGAGAACTGGGTGTGCAGCAGCGCATGGAAACCGTACAGCGTCATCACCGCCTTCTGGATCGGCAACATGATAGGCGCCTGGTGCCTGGGCATCGTCTCTGACAAGTGAACTTGGTCAATAGCTAAAATACGATGTGGTCAATAACATAACAGATGATTTGGTCAATAGATAGACAACCATTTTGCCAAAAGCTTGGCTGATATTAGGCAAATAGCTAAAATACAATTTAGTCAACAGATAAAAAACGCAGCTGTCAAAGCTGAACAACGATTTGGTCAATAGGTAAACTTCGATTTAATCAATAGAGGAAATATGATTTGAGCAATAGCCTAAATATGATTTGGTTAAGAGCCAAACAAAATTTGGTTAAAGACGAGCTACGATTTGGTCAATAGCTAAACTAATATTTGGTTAATAGCCGAGCTACAATTTGGTCAATAGCTAAACGACGATTTGGTCAAAATATAAACGACAATTTGGTCAATAGCCGAATTATGATTTGGTCAATAGTTAAGCTGCAATTTCCTAAATCAAATCCAAGCACCGATGATGGTGGAGGGAAAATGCACCCTTTAAGTAATTCTCTTCAGGGCGACTAGTTTCAGGAAATTCAGTGAGTGACATGAGTCTCAACAAATGATGTGAAATGCGTGATTATTCTTTGTTATTTTCTTAAATTCAATATGGAGTTTAAAATTAAATTGGTTTATGAAATATTTCTCTTTTTTTAACTAATTGTATTTTTATTCCTATTATATATCTTGCAACCTGTTTCCGCATGTGGAGGTTTGGGCGGCGACCTGTGGTCCTGATTTGCTGTCTCGTCTATGGAGTGACAGGCATAGCATCCGCCTTCGTCAGAAATTTTTTCGCCTTCATGACAGTGAGGATGTTGGCAGGCTCTGTGCACCACACGCTCTCTCATCTACCTTATGTCATGGGTAATACACAACTGACTCGTGTACATACTTCGTCCCATGCATACAAGTTTACTCGATCTGTGTCCATGCGCATTATGTGTTTAACAGATCAAGTGAATCGCACGCTCGTTTTTAAAAATTACTGCAATTTTTTCGAATCAATGCAGGTCTTTTTCAATATATTACAATTTTACAACCGTTTTATGTGAATAGTTTCAGGTCACTCGAGATATGTCGACTATTTCATCCGGGCTGGTTGAAATTGTTGAAAAGATTCAAGTTTGTGTTGGCCGAAGTTTTTTTTCCTTTGTTAGAAATGTGGACACAAATTTTGTAATGGATGGATTCCTTTCTTTTCAGTAATTGAATTTTGCGAGATGGACAAACGATCAGTGCCTCTGCTTGCAATCATGATGACGTACACAGTAGCCACGATTATTGCGCCAGTAATTGCTTACTTCATATGGGACTGGCAACTGTTCGTAATCTTTACGGCGGCTCCATCTTTATTGATCGTTCTCATATATAAGTAAGTCTTTCGGAAAACTACGGATGGAACAAAATGTGCATATGTGTTATTATTGGAATTTGTAACATTCAAACACGCTTCTAAACTTAAAATTTGCATGACAGTTAATGCCTGATCAGAGTTATGCATTCAAATTTTTCCATCCAGGTGGATTCCTGAATCAGCAACGTGGCTTATCACACAAAATAAACTAAAGATGGCCGCACAACAGTTGCATAGTATTTCAAAGGTGAACAGAATAAACTTATCAGAAACCTATTTGAAACACAGGATATCACAGTTGTCAAATAAGGAAAGGCACTTTATAAACGAAGACGATATCATGTTGACGACAATAAGCCGAGAAGAAGATAATGAAGAAAATGTTCCCCATCGCGATCAAGTTCAACCAGTTGTAATTGTATCAGTCTTGAAGTTCCCTATACTGAGGAGGCAAATCGGGCTTGTTATGGTCATATGGTGAGACGATGTTCTATTATGAAATAATTTTTCTGCGATGCATAAACTGCCTTAAGAAAAAACTTTATTGCTTGCATTTTTCATTTAAAATGTATATTACATTTCTCAATCCGAAAAATTGCGTTTGCAGCATACTCATGCTATGTCAGCCAGCTTTTTGGGACATTCTACAGCGTTAGGGTACCCACACACTGACACAGTGAAAGCAGGTTTGCCCGTGCGGGCAACCTGCTCCAACCTGCCACAAGAATGAACATAGGATAATAATTTAAGTGTTCACAGTAAAAACCTGTACGAATAGGCCACCGCCATGCCTATTTATTTAAATTTCAGGCGCCTGCCTCGGCAGGTAACCAGCACGCTGGCAACCTGCTTTCTCTGTGTGGGTACCCATCTGCCGTAACTCGACAGGCTCAGCTGAATCTCTCATTTGTTGAGCCTCTTTCCATTTTTTAAACTATTATCTTGAATGACCTTTTATATCAGGATGGTTGGTTGTATGTGTTACTACGGACACGCCCAGAACACCGCCAACCTCGGCGACGACATGCTTGTCAGCTTCTTCCTGGGAGCCGCCGTTGAGATCCCTGCGTGGTCGACGCCTTGGCTCATCGAGCGCTTCGGACGGCGACCGCCTCTTATTTTGGCCTATTCCTTGTCGGCAGCCACGGGGATCATGTACAGCGGCTTAGTCGTCCTGAGTAAATGCATAAAATTTTCTTTAAAAATCATGATCAATGTACTCTCGAATTTAATAAAAAATTTAAATGCCACTCAAATACCGTGGAAGCTATACAAGGTCCGCCATATTTATGGCAACCCATGTTTTTTGTTACTTCTCATTTAAACAAACAGGTGCATTGTTTTTTATTGGATGAACTAGTAGCCAAGAGTTACCTAAACAATTCTCAGACATATTTATTCAATATGACCACCTTTACTTTTCATGACGGCCTCCAATCTACGCGGGAAAGCTTCACAGGAGACACGCAGCATTTATTGAGGGATCAAGTCCCATTCTCGTGTCTAGACTTCAAACTATCCAAAGAATCATGAGATGTTCTGCAGACCCCACTCTCTAAAATAGCCCACACAGAAATGTGTGGGCTATTTTGAAGTGTTATTTAACGCTATGTGAGTCGTTGAAGTGCTTACGGGCCAAAGGTAACAACACAGCAGCCAAAATGTCCGAAATGTATCGCTGACTGTCCAATTTCACTCCTGAGGGGATAAAAACGAGTGGGGACCTCCCAGTGGCGGTTACCGCGGCCCAAACCATCACGGACATGGGATTTTGACGTCGTGTTTCTGTTCTGGCTGGTTGCCACAGATCCATCTCGATTCCAAACTCTAATAATTAGCTCCGTTCTTTCTGTAGCCTGGTAGCTTTCAGGAAGTATCATCTTTGTTTCAGCCGCTAGTTGGCCAGCTCGCGTGTTGGGGATGCTGGGTAGGCTCACCGTGACGGCGGCGTACTACATCATCTACATGGCCCTGCAGTACGGGCCTGAGGTGTTCCCTACCGTCGTCAGGGGTCAGGGAGTTGCTTTAGCGGAAACTCTGGGAGGCGCGGCCATCTTTATTTCTCCGCTTGTTGTTTATCTTGTGAGACAATTGTCGTGGTGCATACGTCTCGGACAAATTTACGGCCGTACTTGCGGCCGGTCTCGCGGCCGACCCTGTACCTGAAATATCTCCCAAAGTGCTGAACGTAGCTCGATGAAACTTGGTAAACATATTCATTATGGCCTAACGGTGATGTCAAGCTCGTGACAATTTTTTTAATATCGCCTTCATTCGTGAGTTATATGACGAAACGTGCCGAAAGTTGCAGTGTACCGGCCATTTCTTCTAAATACTGAACAGATTTGAACGAAACTTTGCATATACCTAACCTACCTCCCCACGGTGATGCTTAGCTCGTGTTAATTTTTTACGTTTTGCCTTGGTTGGCGAGATTTTTTTCTTTTCCCTCATTCGTGATTGAAACAGCAAAATTGTGCTTAAATTCCCAGTGTACCAGAGATTTCTTCTAAAATACTAAACAGATTTGAACGAAACTTTGCATGTTGAAACCTAACCTCCCAACGGTGATGTTTAGCTCGTGACAATTTTTTTCGATTTTGCCTTCGTTTGTGAGTTATACGGAGAAACGGATAAACGACCGGCATTTCTCAGGCCGATTTTTGAACTTGCATTGACCAAGAGCCATATACGTAAAGCTGTATAACTCGCAAACGAAGGCAAATCTGTTTAGTATTTTAGAATAAATTTCTGGTACACTGCAAATTTCGGCACGTTTCGTCATATAACTCAAGAATGAAGGCGATATTAAAAAAATTGTCACGAGCTTGACATCACCGTTCGGCCACAATGAATATGTGTACCAAGTTTCATGGAGCTACGTTCAGTACTTTGGGAGATATTTCAGGGACAGTTTCCCTTGCGAGACCGGCCGCAAGTAGGCCGTAAATTTGTCTGAGACGTGTGGTGCATATCTTAATCATTGATCTAATTTTTATCATCAATGCATCGTCTTCTATTTTGTTTATTTCATTTTTTATTTACTTTGATTTGCTCGTATTATTTGGCCTATGACTATGTTTCAACTTGAAAGCTCTGATTATTGCATCAATTAGAACTGTTCCATGAATTCGTTATCGTTGCCTTGGCAAAGCAAAACTTGATTCTAACTATTTTGCTATTAATAAATAATTTTTAACGGAAATTTTGTGCTGGGCAGGTTAAATTCTACAGAGGACTTCCGCTTCTAGTGTTTGGATTACTAGGAGCTGCCGCAGCCATCCTGACGATCTTTTTGCCAGAAACGAAAAATGTTGCGTTGCCGAGCACATTAGCAGGTGCAGAGGACGCGTGGAGACGTGGAATGCGGCCGCGTTCTCAGCGATGAATTGAATGTTTTAAATTTTATTTTGTTTAATTAAGCATGTGTGCTTTCTATTTTTAATAAAGAAACAATCAAAAATACACCTCTAATCGAACTATCTCCCACGGGCCACGTACCGGATAGCTAGAGGTCAGCATAGCCCAAGTCCACAGTGCGATTCACTGTGGACCTTAACCTTCCCGAGCGTAACGCAGCCGGGCATCTTCACGGCTTTTGACACAAAGCGCCCACCACAACAGCGCCGTTCAGTCTAAAGGCCACAGCGCATACAGGCCGGAGCACAACTGGCCGGAACGCAACAGGCCGGAACGCAACAGGCCCTACGGCAACAACTACTCCTAACGTAATTTAACCGAACCTAACCTGCGCCGCCTGTTGAGGTAGGGCCTGTTGCGCTCCGGCCAGTTGGGCTCCGGCGCTGTGAAGCAGTGGCTGTTGTGCACAGCGGATTTACTGTTAGCCGGAGTTACCCACAGCTCATTGATCTGAGACTATGTCAGTATGTGTAGATATTGCATGCTGATGGTTGGCCGTTGGCGTTAGGCCCAGGGCCTGTTTACGAGTCAATTTTGTTACCCACGGCTGTGCTCCCCACCCATGTTGTGTTTGGGCCTCAAACGTAGCGCAAGACAACTCTCCGGTCTGTAGATTCCTCTAACATGTTGGGACGAGTTCAGCGTTTCCAGTTCCAGACGGTCTACCTGTCACTCTACCATCTAGCTCTATAGGCTACACGCTACAGCCTTGCAGCGCAGCGGCCAGCGTTGCCAGATGGTATATTTCTATACCAGATTTCACAAATCTGGTATTTTCAGAAGGTGTCTGGTATGAATATTCCAGATCTGATATATATGCCTAAATCTGGCATTTTTCTGGTATTTTCTGACTTACTGCAAATTTACTGCATTAAGTTCCACCTCTGAAGTTTGAACTTCCTCCAGCGTAGGCGTGGATTATATAGATTGCCTTCAGAGCGGCGCGATTAGAGCTTTCCCGCCATTTTTGGAACCGCAAGTTTACCGCTTGATGAAATAACCCCAATCTAATTGTTAACATTTAACAAAAGTGCTTAGTGCAATATGAACACGAGAGTGATGATCCTTGATTGATTACTGATCAGTGATGATATGGCCTAGGACGAGTGAGGTTGTCGAACCGATCTCTGCGACGCAAGCTCCACCATTTTTGTTTGGTGGTTTGAATTATAGAGTGCCACTTGAATTCGGGGGTGCCATACAATATTTCACTGATCTTGAAAATCATCATCCATTCATAGAACTGGCTGCCTACTGCACCACGTGTCTACTTTGACCAGGTCTCCAATGCATTCGTGGAGTGAATGTTTTCACAAGTCACCTATGTGAAAAACAAGTAACGAAATAAAATTTCAACTAAGGTACTGCAGTCCCTTATTCGGACCAAAAGCTATCTGCTCAGCCGTAACAAGTGATCAAACCCGAAATGTTAGATTAATGCAATATGCAAGCATGTATGAAAATGGAAGATGACCTGTAAGCATGTATGAAAATGGAAGATGACCTGTTTCCGTGGCTTGCTCATGTTGAGCGAAGGGGAAGAAGTGCCACACTGGTAAATGCACAGTACATAAAATACTTTTTAGCGCATTTTCTCATTTATGAAAAAAATGCACTATTGTGCTCACCATGTCCGTCTGTCCGTCCGTCTATCCGTCCGTGACCACGTTTCCGTCGACGAGAAAATGCGCTCTCTGTCAGTCACTGCAGTGAGTACTGAGATCTATATTTTTTTCTTTTTCTAACCAACGTTTCTGACGAATAGGTTCATTAAATTTGGAGGTATTAGTCAGTTTTCGAACAATAGAATTTCTGGTATTTTGAGCTAGGCAATCTGGTATTCTCTCAGAGAAAAAACCTGGCAACACTGGGCCGCCGCAGCCTAGGTGCAGGTGTAAAATGTACGTAGCTTCGTAGGAGACCATGCTGATGTTTGTGCATCAGCGCTGTGACTCTCGAAAGTTCAAGCTCCTTGTGAGGTGGTAGGCAAGTGTTGCCAACTTGCCTAGTTAACACTGAGCAGTGGAATGAACACTTCGTCTTTGTTCTTTGAGCTGCTTTGAATTCCTAGTTAGAGTTTGTCTCTCGCTCCCTCTATTGTCATTGTCGTGTGTCGACGGGATAGCCCACCTTGACCCTGACCTGGGTGAGTCCCTTGTTGATCGTCCAACTGAATTTCTGAAATGCGATGGTTAACTATCACATAAGTTTAAATTTTTTCTTTCATTTATCAAACTAACAGATGTCATCTATCTTTCCTTTGGTTATGACTTCTGGGTAGAATTTTGAGCATTTCTGGCTTGTGGCTTAGAGGGGTCAGTCAGTGAGTCTCAGACTCAGTGGAGGCATCTAGTCTTGGGAGTTGCTGTCCTTGCTGAGTTGGGCTGTTGGGGCTTGGTCACTCGGTGAAAAGTTCTGTGATTCACATCATTCCAATTTCCAATTACCAAGTACCAACTTGGTGTTGGTGGCTAGCAGCCAATTTGGAATATCAGACAGAAGTTTCCTAAAATCATTCTAGCTCTCAAAGGGAAAAACAATAGTTTCATAGGTGATTTTGGAATTGCTAATAAAAATAAGCCATTTTCCTACATTGGAGAAATTGAGAAAAGGCCATTTGGATCAGAATGAGCAAAATTTTCCAGATTCACTATAATTTTTGTCTAATTCATGGGATCTTCTGTACAAATCCAATTTCTCACTTGGGCCTAGCTGCGTAAGCTGCGTAGGGTTGCCTAGCTGCCTACTAGTGCCTAGGTCCCTACCTAGCCCCTAGGGGCTAGGGCTAGATGGCTAGTGGCTACTTTGACAGCCTGAGTCTCACAGTCTCATAACAGCTTATTTCCAGGGTCTTGACAATTTGACAGAAATGATAGTGATTTGCCAGGGTGCAGAAGGTGGAAGCAGCGTCGGTGCTTTGCCAATATATGGGTTTTTAAGCCCAAAGCGTTGCCGACCATTTTCAAAATGCGTTGCCGGGTAATTTTTAATGAAAATCCATTTACACTGAGTAATGAAAAACTATTTACAAGCCACAAACTTATCTATATACCCCAAATAATTAATTTTACCCTAAAAACAGACTGATTGTACAATGTACAGCAAGTGTCAACTGAACATGTGATGATGCAGTCTGATTGCTCTAATGTGACTCATTCATAAAATTGTTTGAGTTTGAATTAATTAATGCTTTCTGATTGTATGTCCTAGGTATTAGAATTTTTATAAAAATTTAAAAATTTCATTATACAGTTTAGTGGGGATAATACATCATTACATGAATAGGTAGCTTAAGAGATAAGAAGCACTGTCAGCCTGTCAGGCAGCTCAGGCCTCAGGCCTCTTATGCTACTTGTACCTAGTACCTAAATCAGGACAGTCATCTGACATTTTGTAGATCTGTTGTAGAAACTAAACTAATGGGAATATTGCAAAACTAAAAATAGTGCTGCAAAGTTGAACATTTTTCCTATCTATGTAGCATAAAGGAAATCAAATCATTAATTTACTACCTCTAAAAAAATCCCTAAAAAAAGTGTGAAAATTGAGATTTTGGAAGTGTACCTTTGCAGCTCTGCTAAGGTCTGCAGCAAAAAAAATATTTGCCATAATAAAAAATTTTACTTGAATAAAAGTTGCACATTGGTGTTGGCTTAGAAATGTGACTAACAGATTTTGCGGATATCATCCCCCCCCCCCAAAAAGGACCGCCATTTCAAGGGTAATAATGGATACCTCTAAAAATGCATTTATAGTAGAACCTCATTAAGTTGAAGGCTGCAGACTCCAGTTAGTAAAAAATTCAATTAAGAACAAAGAATTTTGATAACATTTAACAGCAAAAAAAATTGCTAAACAAAAAATTAATGCATCAGCGGTCATCACAAAATTGTGTGTAGAATATTAGATTGTGTACCAGGCAACATAGAATGAAAAGTAATTAGCCTAAACTATGATTTATTTCTCAAAAAAAAAATGATAGTTGCCACAAAAATAATCCTTGCCGTTTCAGGCATCTTTTTAGCGCATTTTCTCATTTATGGAAAAAATGCACTATTGTGCTTGCCATGTCCTTCTGTCTGTCTGTCCATCCGTCTGTCTGTCTGTCTGTGACCTCAAGTCTTCCTTGACGAGAAAATGCGCTCTCTGTCACTCACTGCAGTGAGAACTGAGTTACATTTTTTTACAATCTTTTTTGTCATAGTGAATTCACTTGAAACCCTTACAGCTACCTATCTGTTATGTGACTCATCAATGTTTAGGAGATCTGCATTCCTGAAGTGTTTTTGTATATTGAAGCCAGTTAAATGGTCAATATTTAGCTCATTACCTTGCTCCATACAAACTTTACAAAGCTAATGAATAGACTTATCAATAATTGTTTACCCGAAAATCCCTATGTGGTAAACACCACCTTGGCCTGTTGGCCATTATTGGAGGCAATAAGTGCCCTTTTTAGCCATCTTTTTTTTAAATCAAAAAAATCGCCAACCCTGCTTGAAATCACACAAAAAGTCATTTATTCTACATCTACATCATCTACCTACAAAGGAAGAGGATGACTTCATAGTACTGTTAGTATGTTAATGGTCGAGTACACTCTGCATGCTTGAAATGTTTTAAAACTAAGTTTTATTTCGAGTGTCCCTAATTACCCCATTTCCAGGGGTAATTAGGGAAGCTTATACTTTACGTCTAGCACCTTATGAATACCATATGGAATTTTTCCAAAAATGCCATTTGATAACCCTTGCAAAGGCCTTTGAAATGAGTTCAAAACTCATAAAAGAAATGTTTCATAGTAAGAAGTTATTAACAAAAAATGCTCAAAACCATTTTTGAGCATTACTCCATTAGATGGTATGTCAGAGTGACAGTCAGACACTGTGAGGCCTGACTGGCCTGTTATGTCAGGCCTTATGGTCTCAGGTTGGTTGAGGTTGCACACTGTAAGTGGAAAATTGGGCAAGAAGCCACCTGTGAATTGGACAAAAATACTGTCGAATCTGGACAATTTCATCTGTTTCTATGGCCTTTTAGCGCATTTTCTCATGTCTGGAAAAAATGCACTATTGTGCTTGCCATGTCCGTCTGTCTGTCTGTCCGTGATTTCACGTTTCCATCGATAAGAAAATGTGTTCCCTCTCACTCACTGCAGTGAGTACTGTGTTATATTTCTTTAGTATAAAGTAAGTAAAACTGCCTATTTTCATTTCAAACATAAATTTTTGAAGCTCAATTGTGAAATGGTCATTTTTATCTGCAATTTTAGAAAACTTTAGTCCAATATTCCAAATAGGTTGCGCACCACACTCATATTGGTTGGAAAGCCTGAAACTGGGGTCTAGATAATGAGACCTTCTTTTTGTATCCCAGCTGATATATTTAAGCACTTTTGTGCTTAAGCTCTAGTTGTCTTGGGGCTAGGAAGGAAGGCCACCATTCAAACTGGCTCAGGCAAAAGTTGCAAGACTGATTTTATGCCCACCTGGAGCCTATGTGCTGCCAGCTATGTTCACTTGAATGGAATATATTTGACAATGTAGGACAATGTATAACATTGGGGACTTGGGTCAAAGTGAGTGCTGTCAAAAAGTGTTTATTGGAGCATACTAATACGTTGTGAAAGATGGTGGCCACAGTGGAGTTTGCTGTGGTGCACCCTGTCTGCATGGTTTCACTGCTTTTCTATATGGCTGATGTTTGGCTGTGTGTCTTGTATTATATTGCTGTTTAGTAGGTTTGAGAGAGCATTCTCTTTTGGAAATTTGTGTATTTAATTGATGAAGTTGGATGAGCCAGTGGGGTATAGAGGTGAGTATTAGAATAGAATAGAAGTGTTGGCACTGAAGAAAAAGGCTCATTGCCTGTTGCCAATTCTTGTACTTTTTGAAGCTTGATTCCACAAGGGGTCCAGCCTTTTGAACCCGATCTTTCCATAACTGACAATTGTTTGACATGGCTGCTGGACTTATTGCAAGGCCCATAAGGTGGTGCTAGGCATTTTAAAACTAAACATATGTTCCTGCAACTGCACAGCTTTGTCTAGTCTGTTCTTGAAGGCGTTTATACTTGGAGCATCAATGATGCTATCAGGGAGGCTGTTCCACATGTCGGTGACTCCAAGCAAGAAGGAATGTTGTTTCATGGATGTGTTACAACGCAGTGTTTTAGTTTATAGCCATGGCCCCTGGTGTTGTTCTTTTTTCAAATTCTAGTACCGTAATCCTACTGGGACCTTGTATAAACCATGAGTATACTTGTATAGGTACTTCACTGAGGTCATTAAGGAGATTTTGATAACAGAGGGTTGGAAGCTTCATAATCTTTAACTTTCTTTCTAAATAAGGTAGTACTCAGCTGTAGTAGTTATATAGAGTGTTAGCTATTTGTCTTGGTGTTAAGAGTAGGTGCTGAAGATAATAGCTGGGGCTGAAGAGAATAATTTGGATAAAAATAAATCTTCACCCCTCAATGCAACAGAGGCCTAAGGTAAGGATTTCCTTTTCTCTGAATTATTATTAACGGTGTGTTCAATCATTTTGGGCATGCCTCTACTGCTTACCACAAATAATGGTGTGTGTTACGAAATGGGGCATGAATTTATCATGCATTTTGTTTCACATGAGATAAATTCATTACTTTAAAAATATGCTAATTTTACAATGTTCATTTGTTTTTTTCAGTCTTTGATTTAATTTACTTCAGAATCTTGAATTCTGGTCAAACAAGATGATGCGCTTCTGCCCTCGCTGCACCAACTTGCTGATGATAAAAGAAGCTGAAACAGTGAGTTTGAATTTTTTTAAAGCATCACTTCTATTTGGGTGCTTTATCTTTATGTTTCAAGTTAGTTTTTGGCCTTAAAGGTGTATCAAGTTTTCAGGCAAATATCAAAAGTTATGATTTTTTAGCTTTATTCTCTGTGATTCAATTATTTTTTATTTCATCATTTATAGTTGGTACATATTTTTTCCAACTTCAGGGAATTTTATTTGATGAATGAACATGAAATTGCATTGAATGTTTTAGTACATTGTTTCTGTTTTCTTTTAGGATGTTGACATGTATAATTAACTAAATGTTTTAGTCTTTTAGGGTTGTTGTGAATACCTATTAATTTGAACTTTCTGTCAACTGCCAAATGTGATGTGAACTTTTAATTTTTTTATGCTATTAAGAGTTTTTATGCCCTGTCAATGACCAATCTAAAGGTCTTGACCAGAGGTCAGCACACACCCAATTCCAATCAGATTTAGCCAAGCAATAGTTTATAGGAATAACTTTATCTTAATTAATACTTAGTTATGTTGTATATGCCTCTACTGTGTAGAAGTGATCATATCACATTTCAAATCTGTAGTACAGAAAATGGTTCCTGCTAATAGTTCCCTATTTTTCAGCAAATGCGCTATGAGTGCGACTGGTGTCCATACATATTTCCTGTCAGAAAGACTCAGGTTCACACGTGAGTTTGCCAGAATTAGTTCAAGCTAGCCTTGCTTTAAAGATATTTCATGTCTATTAACAGTATTTAATTCATATTATTACTTCTCTGTTCAATTGGCTGTCAAAAAGTATGATTGAAACTGAAAAGTATGAAAACTGATTATACTAATTTCATATAAATAGTGTATGCAAAAATTTTAACATTTTTATGTACTCAATACTGTATTTATATGTAGTTTTAGCTTTCCTTGATGGAAACACACGTCATTTTTTGTTTAACTTCTCATTTGAACAGAGATTCATTCAAGTTTTATTTTATTATCCAGATTCCACACAAGCAAGAAGCCTCTGGACGATGTCTTAGGAGGGAAGGAGGCTTGGAAGAACGTCGACAGCACAGAAGCTCCTTGCCCCAAGTGCGCCCACAACAAAGCTTACTTCATGCAGATCCAGACGCGGTCTGCTGATGAACCTATGACCAACTACTACAAATGTGTTGAGTGCAGTTTTATCTGGAAGGAGTAGACGATAGTTATTTTTGTATCCTGTACATTAGGTTATGTGCGATGTGATGTTAGAATTAATAGTAATTGCTTTACGTTATTATTCTAAGTTTGAAGTAATGGAACTTGTACAAATCTTTATAGTGTCTTAAATAGACCACACACTGCAGTATAGTGGTTATGTGAAAGTAAGAAATTGAATATTTGGAAGAAAAATGGAACTTCGAATTGAATAAAGTGCAGCCTTTCTTTGAATATTTTGTCAAGCTATTACGCTTTAATTGTGAATAGAAGTTAATAATGCCTGAAACGTTGTTGACATGTGTGATATATAGGTACATCTGTAAGAGCACTGGTGACTGTTTAGGTCAAGCTATCAACGCTTCGGCTGACATGTAATAATTTTGTCTTAAAACTTCCATCCCTTATCATAAGATTCAGTGACCTCTTATTCTCTTAACTAAGATTATCAGCCGTGTTGTGTGTAATTGAGAATCCAAGGAAAGTCAAGTGGAGAATGGAGATGTGTTTGTCCCACCGTTGTTTCTTGCATCAGAATTTGTATTAACTTTATCCAGTAATCTATTGAAGATTATGGATAGGTTTTATCTTACTTTAATAAATTTTACCAGAAAGAAATGTGTTGTTTGAAATGGATTAGCATTGTTTTGCTTCTATGCACCGTGTTTCACGTACTATAAAAGAAATTTCTACCCGCACAAATGGTATGCTTGTTCGTCCATCTCTTACAGGGCCAGTAGACGGTGAACGCTCCTAGCAATAGGTTGTTCCTGGAGTCTCTTGCGACTGATATGATATGCTAAACTTGAGCAGAAATGAGACCTTTTGTGTCCAACCATTTTGCATTCAAGTCAAAGCAAGTTCTTGGTGGGAGAATGTATTCGCGTTAAAAAATTTTATAATGACCATCATAAATCCCAAGCTAATTCAAACGTTTTTGTCTTGTTACTCTTGTATAATGTGTCGGTAAGTATAATGAGGACATAGCTATTATAATATTTTACTATTCATTGGATTCCTCACTTCGATGCCTTGAAACTTTTTTTACCTGATCACGGGCTTTCCTTTTTTAAGGAATTTAGCTTTGCCTATACGAAACCTAGACTAGCGTTTCATTACCTAGACATTAGATTTCATTGATTTTATTCTTCCCTGGAAAAATGGATATTGGACTCAAACCAGGAAAGCTAATGCAACCTGTGATTTTTTTGTAATCTGGTGTCAACTTCCAGTCACATACGACTGTTACGTTAATTTACTTCTCTCTTTGCATTCATAGAAACGTATCAGGATGCAGCAGTCATCAAAACTAAAATTTTATCATTACTATTGATCACCATATCACCTATCATGATAACCGTAAATGTTTTAGTTGACCTTCAGGAAAAGTTTATCATGTAGACGAAGGAATATGAGATGTCCTCATGTTACTACTTGTCTACCATTAATCTGACGCCTACGATATCAGTTTGCACTTTGTGCTACTTGAGGTGAAGGTCAAATTCTCGCGGTAAACGACCAACAATCTTATGGCATGAGTTGAACAAATCATGCATTCTGAAGGCATTTTGCGAACGAATAATGGAACTAGTTTGGCTTCTCAGCCTAACGTATATTTTACCATTTTGCTCTCCATTTTACAATACTTCTTTAACTTCACTTCTTGCTGTTTGTTTGTTGTCTGCTACAAATCTTGTAATCGAAATTTAACACACTTCTACTTGTCCTATCGATCTGAAATTTTGCACACTTGTGTAAAGTTGGAGACAAAGCTTGAATCAAATGTCAAAATAAATGATTTTAAAAATTTAAAAAAAAATTTAATATTAAAAAAATTGAACAAATAATTTTGTCAGCTACAAATCTTATAACTGATATATGACACACTTTTACCTGTCTAATTGATCTGAAATTTTGCACACTTGTGTGAAGTCAGAGGAAATTTATGAATCAATTAATAGAATAAATAATTTTGAAAAAAAAAATAAGTTTATATATTAAAAAAATGAAAAATCAATTTTTTTAATATTCGAAAATTAAATGAGAAATTCATTGTACATCTGTAAGATTGGAGACACTGGATTCTTTGGAAGTGTTGTCTCTAAAAAGTAATTTTTAAACGTGTATTTTATTACAAGACTTCTCTTTAACTTCACTTCTTGTTTGTTTGTTTGTTTGTTTGTTTGTTTGTTTGTTTGTTTGTTTGTTTGTTTGTTTGTCTGTCTGCTACAAATCTTATAATCGGTATTTAAGACACTTTTTTTCTCTCCAATCGATCTGAAATTTGGCACACTTGCGTAAAGTTGAAGACAATGCATGAATCAATTGACAAAATGAATCGTTTTGAAACTTTTTAAAATTTTATATATGATATTAAAATAAATTGGAAAAATTATTTTGTAAAATAATTTAAATTAAAAAAAAATAAAAATATTAAAAACTAATTTTTGAATGCATAATAAAATTAGAAATTCACTTTGTATATGTGAAACATTGGAGACACTGAATTCTTTAAAAGTGTTGTCTTTTAAAAGTAATTTTTAAACGCATATTATTATTATTGATGATTCGTAAGTGACCACGTTAAATTTGAAAACATTTTTAAAGCCAACCACGTTAAATTTTTTTTACTGCATTTATCCGAAAATATTGGTATTCAGAATAGAAACGCATGCTATTATACGTTCTTGAATTGTAACATCGCTCGTAATTGTAGTTATTTGGTGATAAAGGTATCAAATGTATAATTTTACAGTATATAAAGATATATTTAGGTATTTGGGTGAGTCTCGAGATAATTGGACGACTTGGGTATGAGAAAAGTACAAGAATCGGCGACAGGCTCATCCAGCCCTATTCTTCAATGTCGAAGATACTATACCATGACTTTCTGTCGGTCAACGCGCGACTTCTTCACCTATAACCCGCCACCACCACCACTTTCTGTCGGATACAACCTTAAATGTTTAAAACTCAGGTGCAATGCTAATTAAAAAAAAATATCAGGTTAGCTCGATGTTTCTCGGGTTCGATATTCCTACAAATTTAAATTCCGTCACCCTGAATGGCTGAATCCCAAAGTTGCCGGCCAAATTAACCAGCAAGCTGCGACTTCTCAGATCTGTAAAGCTAATTTCGAACAGCGTTGAAGTCACGTCGATTAAATGTAGTTATCTGTTGAATTCATAGTTAAGAATTTCCATAGACGAGAAGACAACTACCTAGGCTGAGCGAATTGATGCAGGTTCTTAAACAGCACCTTTAGCTGACAATTTTCTGGACGTGCGGAATCTTTTTAGATCAAGAACAGGCTCCCGAGTCAGATGGGTTTATTGTCTGGCCGAATTATACGATTTTGCTTTATTTAATCACATTGGCTGATTAAAATATATGCAACAAAGTATTGGCTTTGGATGTGTTATAGTTATAACACAAAGATTTGAATTGTTGCATGAAAAACATACAACACTTTTCAAATAAATTAAGAATTTTAGCCGGTCTTGGCCTTGCCTTGGCTTATGTTGCCAGTTTGACCGTTTTCTCTAGCCATCATAAGGGCGATAAGGCACATAGGCAAGACAACCGGCCCCGGGCGGCGGGCAGCCCCAAAGTCAACATAGACATACACATACCTAGTCAATGATAGTGGCACCCAGTCAAGACATGCAGGACTTCGTCTACTTCTGAGCCTCTGAGGAAATATGTGAGATGTGACCATCTGTTGCTTTTGGGTAGAATTTCACCATGCAGAGCAATGAGACTAGGTATAGTACCATATAATTTTTATCTGGAGTTATTCATGTCTAAAATGATAGAGAATTGTAGCATGGTTACCATTTTCATGGCAATCAACTGTAATTTTACTGAATTTCTGAAATATAAATTATGTTCAATTTTTATAAAATGGTTAAATTACCTACTTTTTCATTTAATGGCTTTATGCAATTAAGACAATGGCTGTTAATGTTATCCTGTTAACATTGATTAAATTGTCAGTACTCACTAGCCTAGTCACTCAGCACTATAAAATATTTTGTTTTGAGTTAAACTGCATTCAGTGCATTGCAATGAAGTCAATGATTGCATCAGAATCAGATGTGGAAACTGTAGAATAAATCTACCTTCCAGTCATGACTGGTTCTTTCCTGCCATTTTTGCAACTGCAAAATTCTGCAATTATTAACAATAACAAAAGACATTTATGGCTTTTGATTCATGATTGGGTGCACTGTGCATGATTCATGATGATTGGGCTCTTAGATTCCAAGGCAATTGTATTAAAAATTTGGCACTTTTGAGCAACAAAATTTTAAAATTTAGTATGAAAAAATTCAATAGAAAAATTCTAATCCTTAAATTCATAAAATGGTGTAAATGAAATTTTAATATCTATATTTGTTTGGCAGACCAATACTTTATTATTATCTAGAATTAAATTTTTAAAGGATCTATCAATTTTATTACTATTTATAAGAATTGGCAAAAGCCTATGCAATAAAAATGGAAGTTCCAAGCAATACAGAAAGCTGCAGCTCCTTAGGCAGCTCTAATCAATCTTCACTGCCTAATCAAAAGCCAAGTAGTGCAGACAAGTCCGTGGGCATCAATGTCCTGCTCCTCAAGAGACTGAGACGTTTATCTCCTCTCCTCTTCCCAGGAATCTGCAGCCTCCCAGTAATACTATTCACTCTCCTCTTGCTAGTATGCATTTTGGGTAAGTCATAGGTCATAGCCATGGCCCATGAATAATATATACATTGTTGTTGATATATAATTAGCTTGTGCCTTGCTCTCTTGCTTTTTAGCATTGGTTATGTATTTGAATCAATATTTCCTTCTTTTTGAATTGGTTAAAATTATAATTGTAAGCTTCGTTCTAGAAACTGATGATGAAACAATATGTATACTTGGTCACTTGAGCCATTTCATCTATATTCATAGGTGCTTTATGCACACTATAAACTAATAATAAAGGCATAGTGTGCTTTATGCTTTAGCCTTGAGTGCTATGAATTCAAACCTTCATTCAATAAAGGTTTTATTAGATGTTTTTTTTTTCTCTGGCATTTTCCATGATATTTTTGTTATTATAAAACAATAATTTTTTAATAAAATATTCCTCCCAATGTAAAATTGAGGACTGACATACATCCAAAATATAAGATGAATAGAAATGTTGTGCAGCTTCACTTCAAAACTGCCACAATAACTGAGTAAAAATTTGAATACATATTGTGAGGCAACCAATCAAAATTCTGCAATGCAGTGGCTCCACTGAACTATCACTTGATTATGCATGGGTGATTGGACATGTTAGTGAATCTTTATAAAATAGTATGTGCTATCCAGATAAAACTGCAAGGCTAATTTTTGTTTGCCCCAAGATCAAGAACAGACCTCAATTACATAGCAGTATCATGAGGAGAATACAGGCCTATGACAATTGTGTTTGACTTTTCCTGGGCAATTTAGATTAACTATAGTTATACATTGCTAAAGTTGTGCTTAATGTAAAGTTAAATATGTAAAAATGCTCATTTTGTTTAGGCAAAACACCAATTTATCACTTGTTTCATGGACTTCATATACTATGAAGGATTTTCTTTGAATTAAATTTTCAATCAATTCTTACTCCAGACAGAATTTTTCATTTCAAATTATTTTTTTCATGTTTGGAGCTGCTTATACATTATAATTGTATATTCAATGGAGATTCATGATCATTTTGTGTTAGTTTTTCTAAGTTGATATTCTTAATAAAGTGCTGACTCCATGTTTATCTGAGCAGAACAGTACATTGTGTACCACGTTGGCCTCATCAGCAGCCGCTACTACCTTGTATTGGGCAAGAAGGACTGGCAAGGATTTGTCTACACGACGCTCTACAGCCTCTTGCTTGTCACCACCATAGCTGGGGCAAGATTTACTGCACTTGTTGACTAATAGGTTCATTAAGATTATGTAGATAAGTCATGCATCTAATGCACCATGAGAGAATAACTTCCTAAAATAATGATATCATTTGTGGTTGTTGTCATTTTTCACTAGCTTTCTTGTAATTCTCACCAATTTACCTTGTCGTTTTATTCTCAACATTCATGTTTGTATTAATAAGTTTGTATCATTTTACCCTACTTGTCTGTATGTTCCTATTGTTTATGCAATCATATTTCATTTGATATCCCATGATTCCTTGTATATTTATTGTATTTGTTCATTCACTAGTCAATGTATAATCAGGTTCTGAGTGGGAAGTCCTACATCAGCAGCATGTTGTACATCTCATGGCGACGAGTGCTGACACATGCACTGCATCGTCTCTATTTTGCTGGCATCAACTACTACGCCATCACCATCACCCCGCATCTCAACCTTGACAATCCGTGAGATCTGCCTGTGTAACGTTACTAGTCATGGAATATTTTGTGTACATCCTTGGTGTGATGTACATCCACTAAAATTTATTCTTTTGAAAAGGATTTTACACTTTGTTTTTAGGGTGAATGAGTGTTATTTCAAGCCTTTCATACATTTTGGAGTGTTAGTTTATATTTTGGATGGGTTTTTCACATAGGTTGAAAGAAAATTTTTCATGTGTCTAAATCTTATAATTAAAATCTATTTTCCACACATTTATTTCACTACTATTGTCAGAAAGTACATTATTACATAAAGTGTACATCATGATAGCAGATTTAACTTATTTATATACCTACATAATATCTATATACATCTAGGTATATTAAATAAATATTTTATAATATAATAATCAATGAATAATAATAGTATTCATATTATTAATATATATATCCTCTTCTTTAAATCAATGTGAAACACGTTGTACCAGAAAAGCTAAGCCTGAATTGAATGGAGAGGCAAATATCTTCTCAGCAGAATTCTTGCTGCCTGGCTGCGTGCTGAGTAAGCAATTTTCATGTCTGCAAGATAGACTTGGCCATTGGTTGGAATTTCTTAGAAAAATATTATTGCCAAGCATCGTCACAAAATGACAACTTTTTTTCATCCTTGTGACTGCGTCTTTCATGCATTAATTTTAGAGAAAATTAAATATTTTTCTGATGGATGTTTTTCAAAGAGATGTTATTGGCATTGCCTTATGCCTATGGTTGGCATTTCGTGTCAACATAGATGTAATTCTGTCTTAAATGCGGCTTATTACCAGCTGCTTTTCGTCCTCAGGCATCGCTATTAAAATCCTAGTTTTCAAGTACCAATATTCTCTGTCATATTAGTTCTACATGAATCATTGCCAAGCAACTTGTTTTGTACTATGACTGCGAGTAAATGAGTCTGAGAGATTTTATTACCCTTTAGTATTTTAGGGGTTTCAAGTTTATCAATTTTTTCCAGTGACATGCGGATGACGCAAGACGTGGATTTGTTGTGCCGAACGTTAGGGATGATGGTTGCTACTCTGCTCATCTCCCCATTCAAGATATCCTACTACACTTATCAGGCTTATACCAGGTCTACCAGAATTAGTTAATTACTTCCAGCTTGTTCAATATTTTGAATTGTCTATTAATGCTATTTGTATCTAAATCATTGCATGATTGTCAAGCATGGTTGTTATTTTTCTTTTCTTATGTTTTTAGGCATTTTCTCATTTATGGAAAAAAATGCACTATTGTGCTCGCCATGTCCGTCCGTCCGTCTGTCTGTCCGCCCGTCTGTCCGTGACCTCAAGTTTTCGTCGACGAGAAAATGCGCTCTCTGTCACTCACTGCAGTGAGTACTGAGTTATATTTTTTACATATCTTGTCTGAACATTGATTAACTGCACTATTAATGAAAATTCAATTGACTTGGTACTTCAGCTACTCTGACAAAGTGCTTTGATGCTGAAAATGAAAGCAGTATGCAAGATGGAATCCATGAACTCTTCGTGATTGCAGCACAGGCTGGCTGGGTCCTACCATGATCCTGATCTTCTTCTTGCTGAGTAGCGTCGTCAACCGCTTTGTGATGGATCCCATCGTGCCGCGTGTGGTGCAGGCCGAGAAGTGCGAAGGCGATCTCAGGTTAGAACGCGTGTTTGGTCCCTCCATGTATGTACCGTAACTCTCTTTAATTTGCGATCTCAGGTGACAATCTCGTCAATTCAAACCTATGCATTTTTAGCTGGAATTTTGTGAAACATGGGTGTATCACTGGTCTATGAGCTTTATTGAGCCTTCAAAAATTTACGTGAACCAAGTGATCTTTCTGATGGTGATTTACTACCCTTTTCATTTTTATAGATTACTGAAGTTTCTGTGGAGCAATGGATTAGATTTCTGCCCTGCACGATGATTAAAATCTTTAATAAATTATTTCTTGATTCGGATGCATTTTTTGCTTAAAGTTTATATTCAGTAGTTTAAAAAAATGGAATTGTACCTGGCACATTTTGCTCGCGTGGAGATTACGTGCATCTTCGAAGAAGCCACAAAATTTTCAGTGGATATCTAAAAACTTAAGGAGATGCCCAGTGGACGAATCCTTGGCCCTGATGTGTTTGCACATCGCGTTCCAGTGTTTTGCGTGCTGTCTTCATCGAGGATGCCTTCATTGTTGTTCCTAATAACCATGACATGAATGGAGCCAAAAGGTCCTAATAGTGGTCGCTATTGGCAGAGTGTTAATTCTAATAGGTATATCTTCAGCACAGAATGATAGGCATTTGTGTTTTCGACTTGGACTCTGCCTTGAGACCGTCATAATATGTTCGTGTCTTATACGAGACAAAAGAATATATTCAAGTTCAGTCAGTTCACTGTGTACCATTGCTATTAAATTTCCACGATGTTTGTATGATATTAACCGTCACTCGGCCCAGGTTTAAACACATGCAGATCAGGGCGGGCAGTGAGAGCGTTGCGTTCCACGTGTCAGGAGAAGTGGAGGCCATCAAGACCAACTCTGCCTTGGACGACCTGGTCCGCGCCAAGCAGGCGCTCTTCAACAGACAGGTGAAGACAACACTTGTCTCGATCACATGACGATCTATCGTGATCACAACGCTGTCTCGATCCTAAAGGTCTGTACCGACCACGTGACAATCTGTCGCGATTACAACGATCTGTACCGACCACGTGACAATCTGTCTCGAGCACAACGGTCTGTACCGACCACATAGCAATCCGTCGCGATCACAACGGTCTGTCGACCACGTGACAATCTGTCGCGATCACTTTAAAGTCCGTCGCGATCACAACGGTCTGTACCGACCACGTGACAATCTGTCGCGATCACAACGGTCTGTACCGATCACAGGACGATCTGCCCCGATCACATAGGGATTTGTCTCAAAGCTCTACTAACTGCCTTTTGTTAGATGGAAACGATTCGTTCCGATATTTCTAGACTAAACTAATACCAAAGATTAGTGTTGATTGTGTATACAGACCTGTCGTTTATAACAACTTTGTACCCCGCAATCGGTTTTAACTTATCATTGTGATGTTCATTGTGTCCCGTAGTTATGGCTGAACCTGTGTCAAAACCTGTTCGATTATCTTGGGTCTATCCTGTCATACCTCGCCATTGCCGTTCCCATCTTTACGGGCGTTTACGACGACGTCGACAGCTCCACTCTTTCGTCCATCATCAGCAAGGTGAGCGAGATCGATGTCGCCATACCATTAACTACCCGCTGTCATTACTATTTAGATAGAAATTGTCGGCACTGAAAAATAGGCCCTTGGCCTGTTGCCGATTTTTGTACTTTTCGTGTCTTGATTTCACAAGAGATCCGACCTTCTGAACCCGATCTTTCCATAACTGACTATTGTAACACTGTTTTCATTAACCATTAATTAATCAAGCAATATGTCTGTGTAAACAAGTCATAATCTCTTTGAAAAATAGTAAATATTGCTTTTATTCTACACATGGTAATACAACCAACTTACCTTGGAACTGCTTGTGCAGAATGCGTTCGTGTGCATCATGCTGAGCAGCTCCCTGAGCTCCCTGTTGGACCTGTGCGGCAGCATCGTGCAGGTGGCGGGCGCCACGCACAGAGTCTCGCAGCTGCTGGAGGCGCTCGAGCAACTTCGATCTCACTGGAACTCTGCTAATGATAAGGTGCTGAGGGCAGACTTAGTTGACTAACGGTAAGGGGCGTGGGGCAGACGTCATTTACTAATGTTGAGATTACGTAAAACTTCGTCTATTGATGATGAGGTCTGGCGAGCAAAATTTCGTTTAATAATGATGAGGTCCTGAGGACAAATCTTTATCGATTAATAATAAGGCCCTGACAGCAAAGAGCAGAGTTCTAAGAGCTAACTTCCTCGACTAATTGAAAGGTCCCAAAGACAGAACTTTGTTAGCTAATGAAAAATTACGAGTGCAAAACTTCGTCAATGAATTTTATGGTTTTGAGAATCTATGTGGATTTTACAATGTCCCAGCTGAGTTTTTAGCGTGCTTAGCAGAACAGCACTAGCTTCTGCAGGACCTAGTAGAAACGTAGGTCATGCACAACAGGTATTTTATTCTATAAAACCTAATATTTCAACCAGAAATAACAATCAAATACTGTGCCATTTCAAACCATGCCAAAGCCATTCTACTGAAAGTACTCACAAAGTGAAATTGTGATGAACTCTTGTATTTCATTGCAGGCCTCGGCGTCATACACAGACCTGACCAAGGGCTACTTGGGCCTCCCTGCAGCCTCGCCCCCTGCGTACTCGGCATCGCCGGCTGTACTGGGCACCCTCTACACTGCCTCCAGTAGGCCTTTACACTTATTTAAATTTTCGTTGTGCTAGTTCTTTTTATTTGTCTTCGTCCATTGTTTTTGCAGTTAAAATAAGTTACATTTTCATGCTTTAAAGTCTATCAAAGAATTTCATTCCGGTTACTATTTCGGCCTAAAATTGTATTTGAAATACCCATTTTCATTAGCATGGAACCTAGAATTTGATCCTCATTTCATACGATCATTGAACTATGAATTGTCAGTAAACACTAAACATGGCCAACAAAACCATGATTTAACCGCCGAGAACATTTCATGTTGTGTGTTTTGGTGCGCAGGTTCGGGCGGTCCTCCTCCGTCCTACAGCGCCGTCTGTACGTCTTCAAGCGAAGCTGATGACAGGCAAGGCGAAGCTTTTGCGGGGTTGAGTTCTAGATCTTACCTTCGAAATAAAACACTTTAAATGTTTTAGATACCGGCTAGTATAGAATTGCTGATCTTGTGTAATTTAGTACCAAGAAAGTTCGCCCGTCTTCCATTCTGAATGATAATAAATTGGTGTCAAGTAATTCAGGGTAATCGTAAATCTGATTCATATCATCTTCCTGTGTAATGCTTGGGGTTCTGATTTCTTACTTCAAATTAGAAGTTACTTATAATAATTGTTGTAGCATTTATGTATTCGACATTAAATATAAATTTCCCCAGTTGTAGTGTGCTGATCCTATATATGATTATTGACCCGCAGATCTAGCAAAGATCTGATGGTCGAACAGGACGCTTCGCTGTTGATCACCAGTCAAGTTGACACCGAATTGACGCCCACCACCGACCTTCTCTCCCATCACCAAAAGCTTTCCGACGACCAAGTGGCCCTGATAGCTGCTTGTGTGAACCCTGGCGCTCAGGAGGCAGCGTCGGCGATAAGAAATACTGAGGAGGCAACGCAAGCTGATATTAACGGCGGAGAGAGTAACGAGGTGGCCCCCGCCTTCACTGGCACCTCATGGCCGTTAGGCTTCGTGCTGCAGAACGTAACGCTGAGCGTTCCAGGCACCACGACTGCTTTAGTTAGAGGTCCGAGTCGAATTTTGTATGAAGTTGCAAAGTAAATAGTGTACCCAAAACCCGAACAGTGAGCTTTGTAGTGCGACGTATGACTTGTGAGTGGCGTTACGAATGCTAACGTCAATCAAAAACCAATGTCAATCTTGAATGCTTTGATTAACCTTAATTCATTTCTGTAGAACGGCGGTAATTCATTCGAACGGCGGCTCACCAAAACAGCTCACCAAAAAAATTAGCAGCTCAGCAAAACAAAGTTAAAAAAAATAATAATAACTCAGTACTCACTGCAGTGAGTGAGAGAGCGCATTTTCTCGTCGACGAAAACGCGAAGTCACGGATAGACAGACGGACATGGCGAGCACAATAGTGCATTTTTTCCATAAATGAGATGATGCGCTAAAACGCAAAGGTCGTTAATAGCAAAAAAATCAGTTTGATTTACGTGATTCTCGTACATGGATGATTAGTATGTGCGGAAGGATTTTACGGTGAACTTACTTGACCTGGCCGTCAATATTTATTTTCAGATCTTGCAAAACGTTTCCAATCACATTCATATTCAAACTGAATTTCATTGATGATGACTTGTGCTGAATAAAAGGTAGTCAGTCATACAAAGACTACCTTATACTGTTACTTGACATATAAATTGTGAAAATTTCAATCTAATGTGGCTCTTCTCTATTACAATAAAGAATTTTCTGAGACTCGCTCTTCTTTTCACTGGTGTATTCGCTCACTCTTATACATTTTTTTCAGATTTGAATTTGGATATTGTGCGAGGCCACAATTTGTTGATCATGGGGCCCAGCTCGTGTGGAAAGACGAGTCTCCTAAGAGCTCTGAGAGGACTTTGGCCCATTCAGGAAGGTGTACTGGCTTATCAGAGCAGCTACGGGCCCAAAGCCGTCATATTCCTACCGCAAAAGCCCTTCTTGACGAACGGAACCTTGAGAGAACAGGTTAGTTGTCCATTAATTGAAAATTGTCTGACAATCAAATTTTTACTCGGTGTCTTCTTTTCAGCGATAAATATTAGAATCCCCGTGTGATTTTATGATTGATTGCGTTTTCTATTTTCTGTTGAATCAATTTAGGGCATTCGTGGTTAATTCAGAGTTTTCTCTGAATCTTGCTATTCACCCAATGAAAAGTCTGTGATGTATGAATCCGTTCAAAAAGATGAAATACAGAATTATTTACTTATGTCCTATGATCTCTTTTCTGATTACAATTGCTCATAAATCACAGAAAAACTGATAATTCTTCTCAATTAATTACAGCTAAGATATTTTTGTGAGCCTATGATTAAAAATTGTGTCCCGCTGCGCAGATCGTGTACCCTGAACAGCTTTGTGACGAGGCCGACAATCCGCGCATCGTTGTTAGTGACGCAGCGTCCAGCGTCATGCCAGAGCCAACGGAAGCAACTGCTATGAACGACAGTTGCGGCGATGCCTCACCTACCGTGTGCTATGATCCAACTGAAAACGCAGGTAACCAGAACACGGAGAGCCCTACTAAGAAGACCAGAGAAGGTACTGTTCCTCGTTTGAAACTAACACCTGACAGAGACCAAGAAATGGGTACAACACAACCTAATCAGTCGAGTTTGACAAAGATGAACGAAACAAATAACGCCAATCAAGACCCAGAAAATGACAATCATCAAAGTGCGGACGCCCAGACTCAGCTATCCGAAGTCGCAAGAAGAAGATTGGATGCTAACGTCGTTGCAAGTAATGCAGGAGGCTTAGCCTCCCGACAGTCGCCGACTGACCGGCAGCTGCTGCGTTGGCTCAAGCAAATAAAACTGGCGTCGCTTGTGCGCCGATGCGGAGGACTCGATTCAGATCCTGGTTGGATTTGGTGAGAAAATCACTGCTGATCATTGAAAATTTTGTGTGACGAAACAATTTTCAGTCAAATGTATTCGAACATATATTCCCTTGCTTTTATTCCCATTACCTTCATTCATCATTGCAGAATCGAACTTGTGTTTTTGCATTTTCCTCTTGTCTACTTGTGATATTTCTCTTTAATTATTTTTAAAAATTCTCCTCGCTAAAAAAGTGTATCTCACTAGGTCTGATGTCCTGTCTCCCGGGGAGGTGCAGCGGCTTTGCTTCATGCGAGTTCTGTACCACCAGCCCCACTTTGCCATCCTGGACGAGGCGACCAGTGCCCTCAGTGAAGACGTCGAGAGCATCCTATACTCACTAGCGGCCGACGCAGGCGTTACTGTCATCAGTGTGGGACACCGAGCGTCGCTGCGGCCTTACCATCACGCTCTCCTCACCCTCGATGGCAAAGGTGGGTGGATCTTCGAGTCTCTACAGGCAACGTAAATCGTAAACTGTGTTGAAACTATGACGTCCTTAGTCAGTGCTTGCAACGTGGAGCATAACGTGTGTTGAAGTATGACAGTCGGAGTCTATGCAAGCAACGTAAATTGTAACATGTGTTGAAATATGAAATCCGGAGTTTGGCTTGACGCTTCGCATCGTCGTGTTGCCAAGATAACCATCGTACAGAAGGGAGCTCATTGAATCATTTCAAGGAATGGGCAACTACCATCTTGTGGAAAACGCACTCCTCTAGTGGCCTTGATATCTTAGCTGAACGTATTAAGAAGGTCGTTTAAGAGACTTGAAGACTTGCACAAGTTACAGCGTATATCCATCGATCTAATTGTATGCAACAATTTCAGTTCATGTCTCAGGACTAGCAGTCCATGACCAATTATTTTAGTGCACAAATTATGGTATAATTGTAATTTATAGCTGCAAATATCTATACTAGTTATTGCTTCTATTCCATCAATTTTGTATTTATCCGTACTTCCATTTCTTTCCATCCATTCTGTCTCTTGATCGATGCATTAATGCAACCGCTCGTGGTATCAGGTCGTTTTATGTTCGTACTTAATTCTGTTGTATTCTAAGGCACTCCATGTTCATGAGACAAGCCTGTTTGTTCTTCTGATGTTTGTCCAGCCTTGAAAATGTTCAAGGCTAACCATTCATAGGTCTTAAATTTTCTTTGACTAATAATCATGAAACTTGTTGCATCCTTCATAGCGGATGTGGTCTCTTAACCGTACAAATGGCACGGTCGTTAGAAGGATGGAATTCGGTGCCAGAGTCCTAGACACGCTTTCTCATTCATTTTTAACACAAGGGAAAAATTAAATATGATGATTTATTGCCATATTACTCAACGATCTGTTAGTAATCTCAAATCCGGCCTTAGCTGAGAATTATTCAGTTTAATCATATTAGAACGAGAGGTGTTGCCATATTTCCAGGCTGTGTGTGTGTTATATAGGTAACCTTAATTGTCCTCGTCACTTCTTGCATTCAATCCACTATTTTTACCTAAGAACTTAAAGTGAAACATCCAAGTGTATTGTGAAGAATACGCACGCAACTAAAATGCAATTGAGACCGTTTACGTTGCAAGTACATGACAGGGTTAGTATTGCTGACCGAGTATGACGTTTTTAAGCTTTTTATATAACATATTTATGTATATTTGATTGCAATATACTATTGGCTAATTTGTTTTTTATATCCTGCGTTAACTTCTAAGCGTAAGAATGTGAACCCGTTGCTGTTCTAGAAATTCTTTAATCATCAATCAAATCGGACACCACAAAACCAAGTCGGACAACGATTAATCAAAATGTTAATAAAGGTTATCATACTCGGAGTTTCAATGGATTATATTTAAAATCTTCGCCAGTTTTCACTGTAAGACTCACTAAGTTCACAATAGCTGAATTGTCGATAACTTAAACCAAATTTTGCATACTTTACAAAGAAATTAATTGGAGGGAATATCCTCTTAAGATTGCAAGCAACTGAATACAAAATATTTTATTTATCGATATCACCAACAACGTACACTGAAACAATTGGATCTATTCCTTCTACGATTAGTCATGCAGACATTCAAGAATGATGGTACACTTGTGAATCAACAGGAGATTGTTAAATCCACGAAAAGTTAATGGCAAGGGCATTTCACATGGTGGAAAAAGTTCAATTGATGCAATGGTATTGGCAGCATGGAAGTTATAACCTATTCTTACTACCGACGTGAGAAAAGAAATGTAATGCAAAATAGCTACCTATACAACAATATTTATAATCATAGTGTCTTTACCCTAACAGTAACTTCGGTGAGGAACTAACGAATGCAATGCCAACCAGGTAAGTTTATGAAACTCCTACAGCTCGTACGGTTTAATAGAGAACCAAACATAGGAACTGTGCGAATTAACGAAAAATTCTATTAGAACTAAAGGAACACTAATTCGAAGTCTGATCTTAACTCGCATGAATTGTAGTTCATGCACACCACTTTAGACTGGAATACTCTTGCCAATATTTTGAGGAAATATTGCAATAAAATAAGGAAATCATAACCTTTCAGTTAAACCGCAAAATATTTTTAATGCAAGGAAAATGACGATTTGTAGGCACTGAAATACCGTTGCTTCACTTTCTAGAAATTAAGGCAGTTGTCAGGGTGCCTGTTGAAGTCTTTTCGATAAGTTTTTTTTGGCCATTAAGCAAAGGTTCAACTGGTGTATATATGGTTCAACTGGTGTATAGATTCTAATAATATTGCATCGTTCGTTCGCAACATGCAATACTCCGACATGATCATCGCTCGAGTGAAGCCCCAACAGACGTCTCCTACACACGTATGGTAGGTTATGCTGGTCTACTTAAGCTCCATTTAATTGAAAATAATAGGTTTGAGTAACTAGCAATATATACACGGTTCAAAACATATCACGCCTACGTTCGTAAATACAATCTGCTCACTTGCACACCTGCCTGCCGCCGGTGAGCAGCGGCTTTACTGATGCCGATTTTTTTTTCAAATTAATTGCACACCTTGCGCTTCAATCAGAAGGAACTTTACAAAGCTGCAGAGAAACCTAAAATAATCCGAGTAAATACCAGGCAAGGTATATTTGAAAGATGAACCATCAAAGGGTGCAGGTTATCCGTTGTGCGTCACAACACTAATGGTAGACTCCATTGACTATTTCTATCACAATTGTTTATGCGTATAATAGGACCTTGAACGCATCGTTAATGAGTTATTTTGCAGGCTGAATTGCATTGAAGGTCCCACCACTCTGATATTCATTACAGGTGATGAGGTTACGTTACACATTTCGCTAGCGGCCACACACCTGAATTGCCACATGCACGGATTACATACTGAACTTTAATGCACACAATCTTGGTAAAATTACGATCCGGCCCTCCTCTCCGCGTAAGCGAAATATGATCACAATTAAGCATAAATGAGATAACGTCATGAGGGTATTATAGACTACGGGAAACGGTAATACTACTTGCCGATGTTGCAACAAACGCTCGGCGTCTCACTACATCCATGTATGTACAAGAAACGAGTATTCGAACGTTCAAAATAGCTAGAAATTCTACAGTATTCTAATTAGATTGATTAAAAACTCGCTATGGCGGGTTATAGTAGCTTCACAACTTATTTACATACGTCATTTTCAATTGAGTCGAAAAATTTCTGACGCCACTGTACCTATCAATGGTCATTACAGATCTTAGAATTTGAAGTAATTCTACAAAATTACTCAGTACCACTATAAAATTTACTAGGAAAGACCTGGTGAATATGGGCGTAGGTTTCAACCATATGAATGCGCGAATTAATTAATTTTATAACTTTCATTCCAAAGTAATTTTTAGCATGAAAAGACTTTTCTATGGTTCATGATCTACAAACCAAGGATCATCTGATAGGGGACTTCTATTCTATTTAATTGAATGATGTATTTTGTGAAAGCATAAAAATAAATCTTGTTATCCTGTACATTGAATTACTTTGCATGGGTTTGCAAATAATTCCATCGATAGTAGATTCTCATCCAAGATACATGATAATCATTATGGTAGACTAAATCACTGTATTTGCTTGCCCAAAACATGATTTGAAGAAATGAGGATCGATAAGGAGATTTTTTTTAAATATCGTTAAACTCATTGAGACAATAGAAAAGCTCATCCCATACCTATTTAGGTATCACGAGGGAGAACCTGCACGCTTATGGACAAAACTTTCACTACAACCTACCATAGAACTACCACACTACATTGCAGATGTTCAGAATAATTACAAAATGAGTCATTACATAAACCACTCGATAAAGGGAGTAACCACCGAAGTTCTTCACAGACATAAGCAGGGTTAAATTGCACGGCTTCTGTTCGTTTTTCTGGCACTCGCACAGTCATGAAAGAGAAGCAAGCATCACTACCACCAGGAGATAACTACACCACTACCACCTCGACAAAAATTAATTCTGCCATCAATTGTGAGAATTGAAATGACATTACGCTACTCGGGTATCAGCGCTCGCACTGTTCTCAGTGACTTCGTTTTTTGTTTCGTAACAGCCATTACGTCGTTGAGATAAAAAAGAAATTTTCTAATGATCAAAGACTCTGCGAGGTTCAGTAGTGAGTCCCAGTGATGGGAATGGTGAGAGTAACGTTGGAATTGGCCACGCAGTTATCTGAATTTGGAGTGCCGAGTACAATAGCTGAGCTATGCGGAACGATGATGCTGGTATGGTCGTGATGAGAAGCAACAGTCGAAGCGTGCACAGTCAACCGGTTGGCGGAGTCATGCTCGATGATCGCAACGTTATTGTTTGACGTAACCACGGCTACAGCAGCGCCGAGGGCAGAAGAAGCAACTGATGAAGCGATCGCAAGCCCAGCGGAAGATATTGGGGTGCTTGATACAATGGGATGAGAGGTGTGTGGGTCCTGTCAGTGATGCAGCGACAATAACGATGATGTCGGCAGGCGACTCGTAATAGACGCTAGTGTTTTCGAAGATATTGCTAGACTCGTGCCTGGGGTGATGATAGTGCCTTGAGAGAGCAAAGCTGCGCCGTTTGTGCCATGGTCGTTAGCGTGTACTGCTGAAATAGCAGCGCTCGAGATACCAAGAGACTGTGAGCTGTGAGGCAAAGACTGTGGAGTAGAACATGTTGGAGGTGTGATGGTTAAGCGTTGAGGAATATAAGAGGGGGAAGGGGCAGTCGTAGGAGGCTGCTGAACCAACGTGTATGGAAGGCGTTCAGGGTGTTTTCTTTCCATGTGCCCGTTAAAATCTTCTTGGCGGGGAAATTCGAGATTGCAAGGGACGCATGTATACGGTTTTTCTATCTTGTGAATGAGCTCGTGACGCTGCATCTTATCTTTCCAAATGAAACTTTTGCCACAGTGTTGACAGACGTGTGGCCTCTCACCAGTGTGAACAAATGCGTGGCGTGTGAGTTTATCCTTGCGGGTATAGGCTTTACCACACACAACGCACTGGAATGGCCTCTCACCAGTGTGGATGCGTGTGTGGACCACAAGGCCCTCATTGCGGAGGAAACCTTTTCCACAGGTCTCACACCGAAAAGGGAAGTTGTTTGTATGGATCCTCATATGGTTCTTTAGTTTATCCTCCCTGCTAAGAACTTTGCCGCAATGCTGGCAAACAAAGGGACGCTCCCCTGTGTGGATAAGGGAATGGCGCGTGAGTTTTTCTTTACTCGTGAATCCCTTGCCACAGACTACACACACGAACGGACGTTCCCCTGTGTGAAGGCGTGAGATAACCGATCAAGCTTTGTTTCTCGTCATTAAAGCACACCACAATATTATGAATATTAATAAATAGAAGCAAAAACTTAAATATTTGATATAATCAATATAATCACGAGTGAACAATTTTCCAGGTATAACAAATTATAAAAAAGTTGAAGATTTTTGTCAAATTACTTTCGAATAACTTGGATTGCAACATCAGAATTTAGAACATTTCTGATCAGTTTCGCACTAACCAATCTTAATTTTAAAGGTAAAAACGGAGTTCCTCATTCAGATATTCCAAACATATTTCAGAGCACAATAATGCAAAGCGTGAATTTTTCAAGAAAACAAAAGTACATAAACATGACATATTTTGTGCAACGTATGCAGGTTTAACATCAACGTACTTCACAACAGGGGAACACGCAATCGTTAACTGATTCGTGAAATTTTCCTTGCACATCATTTTTCCAGTTTTGACGATAGTTCACATAACACTTTCCAACACAAAGATCATGTTGCAATCCAAGCCATGAGCCAAAAAATGGCTTTAATTCAGCACGACATATTGACTTGACGGAAACTACGCTGGAAAATCGTCCACTCCATTTATTTCACTTACAGTAAAGTATATTTCAGAGACAATGAAGGACTGCCACAATATATCATTGGAAGACGTCAATGTGGCCGCAGATGACGTGCCTAATTCCATGAGTTCCTTGGAACTCATAAATTCAAGAAGACGACATCAACGAACACAGTGCACAGTACAAAACTTTGTCAACACTGTGACCAGCCATATATATATATATAACATTGAAATGGCTGTGACATATGACAGGCTATTTTGAAATTGCTGAAATGAGAGATGCATAGCGCGTCACTGGAGCTCATTCACAGGATTGAATGTCAAGTCCTGAAGTGGAATTTCAAGTGAAGGTAATGTTTTATGGGTGGAGCAGCGAGTTAAGGCTAGGTTTTATAAGCGAGGTCGAGTAAAAACTCGAGGCGTTTGGAAACTTCTACTGATTACAAAGAATAATTATTCTGAGTAGCACAAATGATTTTGTTCAATCTTTTTAGATGTAGCAAAAGAAATGCACGACGAAAAATGCATGACTATTACATTACAAGTTAAAATCAGATTTCAACACGACGATTTTCATAGGTTTGACTATTACTGGATTGAGGAGAACGGGAGGATGAAATGCGGAAAAGGGATAGTATGAAACCACGTCAAAGAACAGCTCATCTATGAAATTGTTTCTTCAGGATGTGGAATGAACTAGTGACTTGCACGGGATGGAATTTGCGACTAGTTGCTGATCGATGAATTTATATTTTCTCATTTGACTGGTTCGAGGAAGGATAGTAAAGAAAAATGAGAAATGTATCGAGTTCGGCACGGCAGATGAACGAAACTATCGCATGCATATCACAATGGCTCAGGAGGAAGACAAATTTTCAAACAGCGCTATGAGAATGATTTCAATTCTGATGCTGATCTAAACGGTTACGGAAACAATTCCATCCATTATTACCATGGAAATTTAGGCTGCGTAATTCGCGCAGTCGAGAAAATCAGAAAACAACGATGGAAGCGAATGATGGCATTCCATCAAACATCAGCAACGACTCCACTAGTAAATCAAAATATGAAGCATAGCATTTTCCTTGGATAACCGAGTTCCTAAAATGAGTAATAAGAACGTAAATGCTAGCAATTACTAGCCTCGAAATTGAAGAAAGAATCCTGAAAATTATGCGAGCCAATACAAAAATTTTTGTCCGGTCTTGAGCATTAGGAGATTAACTGAATTAATAGAGTGAAAAGATACGACCATGGAGACATATCCAATGTACGTTTGAATCGTGGAAACGAAAATACGAATAAGTAATGCAAGAGATATATTCAAGGATAATGAAGAGAAAGCAGTGAAGAAGAAGGAAGTCGGCTAGTGATGGCAGCCAGAGATCGTGATGATAAGTGAGTGGCTGCGGACGAAGAGGAATGATTGTTGCTGAGGTCGGTAGGAATAGCATTACTGTTCATCCCTGCAGCCGAGCTCACGACCACTGCCGAGCTATTAGAATGCAAAGCAAGAGAGAGCGGTGTAGGCGAAGCGGTTGAGCGGCCTAGCGAAGACTGAGGAACAACGTAAGAAGTAGCGATAAGGTGTTGGTTGTGTAGGGATGTTGGCTGGCTCACTGAGACAAGCTGCTGGTGTAGACTGTTATGGTGTTGGTAGTGGGCCTCAGGAGGCTGCAGGAGAGATGTCGTGCTAGTGGTCGCCGCATGCAAGGAAGAATCGTCTTCCCCGAGTGGGACAGGGCTATCAGCATCGTGTTGGTTGTCAACTATTGTGAATTGTACGCGCTCGGGATGTTTGCGTTGCATGTGAGAGTTAAAATTAGCTTGGTGAGGAAATTCGAGATTGCAAGGAACGCATGTATACGGTTTTTCTATCTTGTGAATGAGCTCGTGACGCTGCATCTTATCTTTCCAAATGAAACTTTTGCCACAGTGTTGACAGACGTGTGGCCTCTCACCAGTGTGAACAAATGCGTGGCGTGTGAGTTTATCCTTGCGGGTATAGGCTTTACCACACACAACGCACTGGAATGGCCTCTCACCAGTGTGGATGCGTGTGTGGACCACAAGGCCCTCATTGCGGAGGAAACCTTTTCCACAGGTCTCACACCGAAAAGGGAAGTTGTTTGTATGGATCCTCATATGGTTCTTTAGTTTATCCTCCCTGCTAAGAACTTTGCCGCAATGCTGGCAAACAAAGGGACGCTCCCCTGTGTGGATAAGGGAATGGCGCGTGAGTTTGTCTTTGCGTGTGTAAGCTTTGCCACACACAACACAAACGTATGGCCGCTCGCCCGTATGGATTCGCGTGTGAACCACCAGTCCCTCATTGCGTAGGAAGCCTTGGCCGCACGTGCTGCAGTGGTACGGGAAGTTGTTCGTGTGGATGCGCATGTGGATCTTGAGCTTATCCCCGCGTGACAAGACTTTGCCGCACAGGTTACACACCTTCTTTGAGTCCCAGCTCTCACCTGACAACAGACAGAGAGTTACGCTCAGTATGGTCGCACACATTCAATATTATCCTTGCTTAAGGCGCTAAAGCGACCACTCTGTCCTCACGTAACTCCCTTACGAAAGCATTCATTTTTCGTTGACCGTAAAATAAATAAATGGCCATCGAGCTATCGCTTCCATCTTTTAAATTAAGCCACGGTATGATTAGAAAACTGAGATTTAGTCAGAAAAGAAAAAAAATCAACATTCGCGCCTGTAAATTCGACAGTGTGATGAAACAATCATTATGATGCAACGTTAATGATGATTTTTTGAAGGGTTGCAAGCTATCCAAGACGATAACGAGAACACCATAGAGAATGCGATATGAAACATTTACATGAGGATGAAAATGATCTACACACCCATGAGGATCTAGTTATGTGCCGGTGAGAGTGGGGATTCAAAGAGGATGGCATTCTGGGCACACAAAGAAAACAAATCTTGAACGCTTTCATAAACGCACTCGAAGGGAGTTCTGAGTCTTCTCGACGACTGTTCCAGCTTCAGCATAAAGTGCACATATTTCATTGGTGAAACTTCTCTCTCAAGAACAAGCAATAAATAATTTTTTCCAATTTCATCGAAATGCTTGGGTGTTCGCGAACAAGTTGAATTAGTGATCTTCTAGCGCGACTTTCATGAACTGAATAGCCAATAAGTGTGTTTAACAACACATCTCGTCGATGATTTGCGCTCAATGTTGAATCTCAAGACCAACTTTGAAATGGGAGAAGCCACATCACTGCAACACGTGAGCCAAAGCTGTCCCAGTTCATCACCGTAATGTTGGGTTAGCAGAACATGTACCTGAACTTCAAAGCTACTGCAAACAAATTTGCACACCGCTCGTATATTATATCGGACGACACAAATGAAATGAATTCGAAAGGAAAGGTGTGAAACCACGTAATGTCCCTAACTTGACATTTTTGAGGCTTCTGAATGGGATTAATTTTTACCAGAGAAACGTCTAGCAGTGAAGTTCAGGTCTAAAGTTAACGATATTGGTAAAGTTGCATTAAGACATGAATGTGCAGTGTTCGTCGCTGTGAACAATCTGAAAAAGATAGAGGTGAGATCAACACGAAACAAATCTGCATCGTTCAGTAAAAGTAAGATATTAGAAGCGAGTAGCTAACTCTCTGCATACACATCATTAAAATATACAATATTAGTGGCCTATAGTTAACAGACTATTTAAAATACATGGTAATATATAATAGAACTGCATCAATTTTCGATGGAAGTAGACAGCAGATAAAGTTAATATCACTAGGAGGAAAGAATCGATTAAAAACGCCACATTATCATAACTCACCAAGTAACGCGATCACGTGGACCCCGATTGCTGATGTCACAATCCTACTCCAAAATAAATTCAAGAGTAGCTTTAAGCAAGAACGAAAGTTAACATAAAATTATGGGTTACGAAGCCTTCGGTTGTGCAAAATTTAGCAATTATTGAATGCTGCATAAAAAATATGTCACGCAATTGAATATTCAATCATTTGAATTGAACGCACGGTGGTGTCATTTTACCGCACAGAGGCACACAATCAAAAACCTAATAAAGTACATCAACGAAATGCATTGCAAAAGTTATGATAGATTGTTTATAATAAATCATAAAAGTTATGATTTATCTTGCACGAAAACTAAAAATAATTGCCGCAAGAAAGAAAATTCTGTCCCCACACTCGCAACCACACATACTCAGTACACACGCACGCACGTTTTCATATTTGTTAATAATGCTCGTTATTTAGGTGTAATAAAAGACAAAATTCAACAATCTAGTATTATTAAGAATACATGCATTGGCACAGATGAAGTTGCTTTTACGTTACACCAGTATAACATAGCTGCATGAGAATTGACATAATTTTGCATCCACAGAAATGAATGAATTAAATACAAATTATTTATTGCAAATAGAAATATAGACACTAGTTGGAAAAAGGAGCAATTTCTTCCGAAATTCAGTCGTTCATTAAAAATCCATCTAGACATTATAAATTAAATAGCATCCAGCGCCTAATTAATGCCAATAAAGGCATACAATTTTCTGATTACGAGAGCAAATTTGCTAAACGTCAAGAGAAGGTACTGCTTCCACGCACTAAAAAGTAAGTAGGAATCAGTTGAGCTGCCATGAGATAATCCGGCAATACAAACTCTCAACTTCCTCAGCGTCAACACTCCGTATTACCTGGGATGAGAATCCAAAGTTCGTCAACAAACACACGAGGTTTTATAATAACCACGAAATGTACTTCAAGATAGCATTCGTGAGGTGAGCACATGGGTACGCCAACATAACACAGTAGAGCAGAACATGTTATTAACTGTAACTTGTATCAAATCGACGCCTAGCATTCACAGGCTGAAGTATTTAGATTTATAAAACGACATTTCCTGTCATCTCGAGTTGCATTGCACAGCCCCGTAACTGAGATGGAATCAACTACCAACTTAAAACATAAGCCAGAAGCAAAAGAAAAGAATGCAACTAAACAAGGCTCGACTGAGGTCTAATCTTCGATGTTCCGTCACCTCTATTTTATAGGCTCAGATCTTTAAAGCAGATCAACAACTTAACAAAAATGCATCTGGACTGAAAGTATTTTCGAGGACAGACGCAACTGAAGGAGGCGGAAAGCTTGAGATGTCAACTCACCGAAACATGCTGTGTCAAGGCAGGTATAAAACATAGAAAAAATATCACCAACCGAATAAAGAGAAAGGGAAATGGAACAAGAATCCCAAACCAAAAGCAAGCATCCAAAAAATTACTGCCAACACTAATGTTGATTGGTCAAAACCATGAGACCGGAAATGTACTTAATCCCATAAATTTTATGAAAGCTAAGAAGAACGATATACAGCGCATTCAGAGTAAAGTGAAGATAGATATCATCACAAGAATAAGCTCTTAGGCATACATGAAGAAGTTACAGGTATGCCGAAAAATTGTTCACAACTGAGATCTACAGTAGAGACACTAACAAGAGGTCGTTTGCATCAATATGCTGTACTATTAGATTAGTACTGGAATTCATAACAATGGCATAATTCCCGCACATAATGATTGATGGGTAGAATGTAAAAACCAAACGCTTTCCTTGCCACTACAGGAGCCAATAATTCCTGTACATGCGTTAATGAATTCTGCATGCATTGACCAGTGGCATGCTGTTTGCCATCAGCTTAGTGCAAAATTACGAGTGAAATGAGATTCTAAATGATTAAGTTCAAAATTTGCGCTCGAAAATGGACTGCTTGCACCAACTAATATTTACATTGCAGTATTAACTTCATTAACTGTTCATACGTTGACAACAGTCATCGATGTACAATCAATAAACACTGAAATCGCAAGCAAAGAAAACTAATGCGTAACTCAGTGATGAGATGAATGAGGATTAGGATAAACTTGTTGGTGGAGATGATGCAAATGATGAGTCTGCTGCAGGTGGTGATGATGTTGCTGTTGTTGTTGCTGCTGCTGCTGTTGTTGCAGGTGCTGCTGTTGTTGATGATAGAGGCTTGCAATGGTCCGAGCAGCCAGCGCCACGTGACTCGGTGACACAGATGGCGGTGGTTGCGGTGAGCTGGTACAAGAGCTGGCAGCTTCCGACGATGCCGAGCTGTGCACTGCGGATGAACCATCATTGTGAAGAAGAGGTGGCGACGGTGAAAGCGTCACTAAAGGTGGGGAGGAAGACATTGAGAGTCGTTGCGATGAACAAGGCTCCATTATCTGACGTACAGGAGAAGAAGAGTCATGGTAGACTGGTAGCTGCACCATTGTATAGGGTAAACGCTCAGGATGTTTTCGTTCCATATGCTGGTTAAACAAATCCTGTCGCCCAAACTCCAAATTGCACGGAAGACACGTGAAAGGTTTCTCCAGCTTGTGAATCATGTGGTGTCTCTGAAGTTTGTCCTTGCGAGTGAAGGACTTGCCACAAATACTGCAGACAAACGGACGCTCGCCGGTGTGCACGATGGCGTGTCGCGTGAGCTTATCCTTGCGGGTGTAGGTATTGCCACACACGCCGCACTGGTACGGCCGCTCGCCTGTGTGGATACGCATGTGTACCGTTAGACCCTCATTGCGCAGAAAACCATGGCCGCACGTCACACAATGGTACGGGAAGTTGTTGGTGTGAATACGAAGGTGGTTTTTTAACTTGTCCCCACGCGATAAAATCTTGCCACACAAGTTACACATTCTTTTAGTGTCCCAGCGTTCACCTGCACAAAAAGGGCAGTGATACAAAATGACTTGCTTCATCCCACACCAACAACCAAGCCCAAAACACATCTTATCACTTTCGTGAACAAGAAGAATATTTCAAAAATTATTCGTCACAATGGGCATAGAGTAGCATATTAAGTGCTGCTGCCTCCAGTGCTGCAAATTAAATCAATGCAAACAGCAAATGAGCGACAGAGAAGAGGCAAACAATGTAATGTTTAGTAGTTTGCTCCAGCACGCTTACAAATTCATGACAGTCAGCAGCACTGAAGAGTAGTAACTCATGCTACTCTTTACCGTCTTATTAAATAATATATCAATCAAAACAGAGACAACACTCGGTCACTACTTTCTGACATTGAAATATGCCACGCGAATCAATATCAGAGTTTCAACAAACTGAGAATTGTGCCAATATTTTTTACGGGTGGAACAAAGCACGACTAAAAACTCGTAACATATCTCGACCATTACATTTATCTTCTGAACAATATATAATAGCCAGTTGGGATTACTGGAGTGCATGTACTGAGGTAGCCTGCTGGCACCAGAATTACAGGCCTAGAGCAGCACATGGACATGTCAGAAAGAAGCGTGTTGTCTCAATTAAAGCACGTGCTACTAAACATTACATCACTCACCGTTTAAAATCTGCGTCGTTCCACAATCTTCACTAGGACGGCTCAAAGGGGCCTTAATCCTTTAAATAATTTCTTTTCACAGCAAATTCATAGGAATAAAGTTTATTCCAATGGTGTATTCCTTCACAAGTGACATTTATTCCAGTGACAAGTTAATAGAAACTAAATAATCTTCCAAAGCAAACAAATTGCAAAGCATGAACTTCTTTAGATTCGAGTACTCAAATCTGAAAACAAGGAGGCAGCAGCAGGCAAGCATGGCAGCTGTCTAATTAATGCTATTTAGGACAAATTCGAATGGTAACAACGGATCCAAATAATACAAGTAGAATGCCTTAGGAATATTACACAAGCACACCACGTATTCACACGCTCAAGATGCTATGCGCAGTCAGATTTTTGTATCTATGGCTAACGATTAAGATCAGGGGTTCACTCCAGCTGAAAGATTGTTTCACCAACGTAAAACGCATACTATTCCTCCAAACCCTGAAGAGGTGAGCGTAAATTTGGGATCAATATGGCGAATGCCTATTAGAATACCATAGTGCAATTCTGGTAGAAAAAAAGTTTTAATTCAAGTGTTTTTCTCCAAAATTTATCGGTGCCAAATTAAATAGCTACTGTCTCAGCACGACCAAAAAGGAAAGTAATGTGATTACTTACTACCCTCCTCCAGAAGAGTAAAAATAAAACTTTAGTACCCTGATCTCTATGAATGCGTGTACTCGTTTTAGAGCAACTTTCATGTTATGAGCAGTTTCCAGTGTCATTGTTCCCAGAGCTAAAGTTCCTCGGGAATTCATTTCCTTAGCCCACCACCCAGGAAATTAGTAGATAAGCCGTACGTCAAAATACACAGAATTAATCACCATCACATAGATTCGTAATAAATAAATTGAATAAAATATCTGAATGGTAAGCATGTTGGGAAATAACTTCTGTTGAGGAAACATCAAGAAAATCGCTGCTTTTATATCAACAGGCCGGCAAAGACCCCCAGAACACTCACCGTTTTTGGCGCGAGCGGCGGCAGCGGCGGTGGTGGTGGAGGCTACAGAGCCTCCGCCGATGGCTCGCGCTGCAGCAGCCGCCACAACAGCAGCCGAGTTCTGTTGAGCCACAAGTCCTCCAGCAACGTTAGCTGAAATTATCGTGCCAGCTGATAGTGTCTTGCGTGGAGGTCCCATGGGTATGCCTCCTGAGGGCGAGGGCGGTTGATCACCATCCAACATGTTGTCTTGTTCCTGTTTAACCTCCTTAAGTAGTCGTGCAGGCTGGTGCTGAACTTGCTGTTGTTGTTGTTGGACCTGTTGTTGTTGAACCTGCTGTTGCTGAGCTGCAACAGCAGCAGCTGCTGCAGCCGCGGCAGCAACTGCAGAAGACTGGGGGACAACAGCCCTGAAGGTTGTCTGCAGGTCGATAACAGAGGGAGACGATGATGCTGAAACGGAGGCTGATGACGTCGGCATCATAAGAGCAGCGCCGTGCTGATGTGCGACAGCAGCAGCTGCTGCTGCTGCAGCCGCAGCAGCAGCTTGTTGCTGGGCTTGCTGCTGCTGTTGTGCTTGTTGCTGAGCCTGTTGCTGTTGCTGGGCTTGTTGTTGCTGTTGCTGGGCAGCAGCCTGCTGTTGAGCAGCAGCTTGTTGCTGTGCCACCTGCTGCTGATGCTGCTGCTGAGAGTTGGTGGTGTGGGAAATTATGGTCGTCGTAGGTACAGTTTGTGCCAAGGAGGAAGCCGACACGATCGTGTGCGTCGCTGGGGTGGTGGTTGCTGACAAGCTTGCATTGGTGACGCCCGCAGCAACCATGCCACCACTCCCACTGATAGGGATGATTTGGAAAGAATCTGCACAAAAAAATGTAACTCAGTAGTCAGTACTCACTGCAGTGAGTGACAGAGAGCGCATTTTCTCATCGACGAAAACGTGAAGTCACGGACAGACAGACGGACATGGCGAGCACAAGTGCATTTTTTCCATAAATGAAAAAATGCGGTAAAAAATAGAATAAAAAACTAATTTTATTTCTAGAAGTGATGCAGACTATATATATTCTGGGAGCTTAGTACAAATTTGTACTGGGCATGTATAAAAACAATTGACAGATTTACCACGCTTGCTAGCAGTATGTCACCAGGTCAAATGCCACTTATCACAAATGACATTTTTTTGTGGTATCTACTAAAATATTTTTTAAATGTTTTCATTTTCAACTACCGCGTAAACAATTTTTCCGGTGTCATTTTTCTATTAGGATCTCTCACAATGATAGTTTTTAAAACATAATTATAGAGTTTAAACATGAAGAAATAGCAGGGTATAAAAGAAATATGTCATTTCTGAGGACCCAATGGTTTAGGGACAACATGTATATAATAGAACCCTGAATAATCATGCCTTCATAATTATTTAGGGTTTATTATTCATTATTTGTTTATTATTAAATAATGAATATATTCTAATTCACTGCATTTTTCAAGTGTCCTGTGCATGCTAATAATCATCTCCCTTATTTCTCTTGTAGTAATATTAAAAGCAGTGTCAGAGACAATGACCCGTAAATAATGAAAGTTAGTCCGCCTTGCACTTAGCCTCTCAATACTACCAATTGATTCAATGGAACCATTGCAACAAATCAAACTTTATCAAAATCGCAAAATGAGCATTTGAAGTCAGCAAAACATGAAGGAGTGAATTTATTCATTTATAAATACATCAAGCTTACTGGGCCCAACAGCAAATTCATGGCTCTGTGCTGCATGCAGAGCTGCAGCACGGGGAGTAGCCGCAGCATACCAGGTGTTGGCGCCATGCTCCAACCCACTCAAGAAATGATCCATGGTTATACCTGGAAATACAATATATTTGAATCTGCAAAGTTATAAGTAATTTATATATTATGTTGTGATGAACAATCTAATGCTAAGACAATTTATAAATCTGCAAATAAGATGATTTATATTACTGCTGAAAAATTCCAGATCAACAAAAAATATCATTCATTAATAGAAAACTGAACAACCATTCGATGGTTGATGAGGGATCAAGACAATCTCTAATTTAATTGTAATAGTAACAATTTTTCATAAAACGTGCATATTTTTAAAATTGTTACTTAAAAAAAAACTTGCGAGCTAAGCTAAGCTTTGACAATAAATCAACTTGACAAAACTTGGAAAGCTAAGCTAATCAACTTTGACAAAACTTGGAAAGCTAAGCTAAGCTTTGACAATAAATCAACTTGAATAGAGCCCAAATACAACTGCTTTAGGCAGCAATTCACAGAATTCTGGAATAATTAGAGCAAATGCTAGAAAAACACCAGCAGCTGTTGAGCACTAAGATCTAACTGCAAATACCAGAGACGAGAAGGCGAAATCTCAAGCAGCTATATACATATTGGAAAAGTTACCAGGCAATAGAAAAACTGAGATTATGTTCATTTTTCAAATGCAATATTGAAGAGATTTTAGCTAGGACATTGACTTGAGGAGAGCATCTACCCTAAAACTCAAAAATTTTGGCTTCTCTGGTTTTTATGCTCATCTTAAAGCTTACATTCTGCCGCATCAAACGGTACTAGAATCATCTCTGTACATTGATTTATGCGTTCATGACAGATCCCGGAAGAGTGGAGGGGGGTTGAGCCCTTCCACAAAACCCTATGGCAATTAATTCAAGCCGGTACTATTAATGTGCTCTCAGTCGACCTGCAGCTCAGTTACCTCCCAACTATCATGAGGGAAGGTTTTCATGCAGTAGTTCTATGCACCGCTGAGTGACTTTAAAAGTAAGACAAAGCTTACTTTTGGCATCTAAGCTACGCTACATGCCCTTACATAGCACGCACGCGCCGCCAGTGGGCGGTTTATCGCCTCTCCTGAAAACCTCCAACCGCTCTCAAGGCAAACCTATCTCCTCATAGAGTTTTGAAGCTACAACAATGAGAAATATACCATTCGATTTGCAAAAAAAAATCTACAAACGGTAGTAGGTGTTTTTCTAATTTTGTTACAGTTTGGACTTTATTTTGAAAAAAATGGGGTTGGTGGGGGTAAAATAAAAAATTTCTGAACAATTAATGAAAAATGCCACCACACCTACATAAATGAGAATTTAGAAAGATGCCTGCTAACGTTTGTAGATATGGTATTTACACATCAAATGATATGTGCCTCAATGTTGTAGCTTGAAAATCCTAGGAGATAGATTTCTACAGTACCCCTCCTTTTTTGGCAGTTTTCTAAGAATATCATGTTTTCTTTCATTTTTTCAAGAAATTCACATAACAAAAAAGGCTGAAATTTCTATTTTACATGTGTGTACCAAATTTTGAAGTGATCTGTCTGTAAATAACCAAGATAGATTTTGAGGAGACACTCCATTTAAGGTCAGGATGCTTGATGACAAGCAAGGAAAATGCCTGTATCTAACCTATAAAATACATTAGTTGCCTAGGTAGGTCACAAGCTAGATCAATAATGAATAAATTTTCCACCATTTCTACTTCAATTCAATGCTGAACAGAAACAATTCAATGCTGGTGGCTAGCTGGCCACAGGCATCTATAATTTAAGCCTACAATATGAACAAAAGAATTCAACATCACTCTAGAGGCAATTTAGCACATCATAGATGATTTATTATGATTTTCCTCATAATACCTCTACGTTTCATTGCTGTTAGCAAGGTGAATTGCTACAGCATTTCCAATTTTCTTGTAATAACTTATTTGCAAGTTGTGCAATTTCCATCTGAACCAGTGACAATATATTAATTTTGAGACCTGACTTTGACCAACTTCTTCTGTACTAATTGAGTAAACCCAGCATATATTCATCATTGACTAGAAAAAATCACCCATGTAATGATCATCATTACCCACAGCCTTTGGAAATTAGTTTAGTTTAGTGGCCACACATTTACTTGAGCTTTAGATATTTAGCATGTCACACTGAAAATCAAGATGTACCCTGAAGTTGGAAAGTCTTGATAATCAAAAGTTTGACTCAACACTTTGACTGCGACTCCCAAAATAGCCTGTATTCCTGTGATGCAACTCTTCAAACTTGAATAAATTTAGTAACAGACGAGACTGCGAGATGGGAGCTAGTGAGCTGCTCTTGCCTAAGCAAGTTCACAAGCTTCTGACAAAAACCATGAGCCTCTATTATTGCACATTGCCTGGAATGGAAACTTTCATATTTCTAGGCAATGTGTTCCATATGAGGTGCATGGCATTTATGATACAACTATAATAGAAAATGTGCATCACACTCATATTGATGCTTAAAAAATGTTTTCTGGGCAAATGGAATCAGAATGTAACTGCAATACTGAAACTACAAATCATTCTGGGGAGAAATGCTGCTAAATGGAAAGTTTATAATTCTATTAAATGATGTCTTACATAACTGTGTAGAGAGGAAGGAAGAAGTGGTACCAACAACTGTGCAAGTTGTTGGCAAAAAACTGCTGTAGCAAATGCCTGGGATCAGTTCTTTAGTCAATAAAAATCAATGTGAATTGCTGAAGTTGTAGAAGATGACTGAATGTATTGTCGTAAGTAATAAGACACACATGCAGCAAAGAAAAGTTTCTATGACCAAATCGTGAAGATTTTAGGTGTCTGCGTTCCAGCACTTAGCACTTTAATATTCAAAGCTGAGGATTTGAACTTCATGACAAGCTACTAATCTGAATCTTGCTGTGACATAATTGCAAATAATATACGTTTAAAAATTATTTTTTAAGAAGTGAAGTTAAAGAGAAGTGTTGTAAAAATTCAAGTTATTTTTCACTAGGATTCTGGGAACAAGATGGCAATAGACTGCTTGAATAACCAACTCTTGGTCCACTTAATAAAGGAACTTTTGATGTAAATTAGCAATTTGTAATTTTCTTTATCTTTGATTGATACTTTTAATACATTGATACTAATTTTTATATTTTCTTGCCTTCTAAGTGGTATAGTGTAAATGCAACATATTCCAACATCATGGGTAATTCCAATACTTCTCAACCTTTTCCATTATATTTAGCTTTGTCTTAGTTCCATGCATGCGTAGATGGTTGAAATAGTGATGTCGTACTATTGCGCACCAGATTTACGCAAAACACTAGGTTTGGTGGGAAAATGTTAAGATCCTCAGAGCAAAAGTCCATGTCACACAGTGAGAACCTCAAAAATCATGTCAAAGTTGATAGTTGACCTTGCTCTACCAAATGGTGATAAACTGTTTGTGTAGAAAGAATTTAAGCATACTTGTATTTGCTGATTTCATGTGGTAAAAAAATTAATAGATGATTAAGGTAAGAGACGGTTTTAGACACATAAAAACTAATTCCGATACAGCTCGAAATTAGACACACACAGCTCATTCCGAGCTGTGCTGTATACCGATACAGCTCACACAGTGCGTCGGAATTACAAATTACGGTTTTGAAGCGCTCTGTCCGCAAGTCTACGGACATCACACCGTAGATTTTAGTGACGTCAGAATTACTCACAATATTCCAAATTTAGTCACACATAGCGTTGGACTTTAGCGATTTTGTAGATTTTCAATTCTTAAGGCTTTTAAATAAATATGGCAACAGTTTGTGACATTTCATCATTGCTGGCGTTGCCGGCAGTGGCGCGTAGTGTGGTATTTTGAGAGTGACGTAAACCAATCACAACGGCGCATACGGTGATCATTTTTATAGCCATTCATTTCTTGCTACGTCCCCAAAGTGTTGGAATATGGTGCATTTACCCTATAGGCCTATACGTATACATGTTCATTCCATCATACTAATTAATCATAGTATGATAGTGGCAAAATAATTCAGTCTTCAGTGGATCTTCCAAACAAGACCTTTCTGAGTCTGAACAGTAGACCAGAAAATAACATTGATAATTAATATCAGCATTATCATTCATATAGGCTTACCTACAATCATAGATATTGAATAAAATTTTGAATTAGATCAGACAGTGATCAGGGAACTAAAAATGAATTGAATTCTATTTCTGATATCAGAATTAGCTATCATATACTTATAGGGTAAACGCGGTATATTCCGACATCATGGGTAATTTCAACACTCCTTGACTTTTTTCTTTCATATTAAGCTTTTTCTTAGTTCCATCATCCATGCATTCGTTGATGGTTGAAATAGTGACGTCATACTTTTGCGTGTCATACTATTGCCAAAACACTAGGTCTGGCCGTCTGGGCCGTCTGGTGGGAAAATCTTGATATCCAAAGAGAGACAGTGCGCGTCACCCAGTGAGAACATCGAAAAATATGTCAAAGTTGATAGTTGACCTTGCTCTACCAAATAGTGATAAACTGTTTGTGTAGAAAGAATATTATGGTTTGAGACTTTTAACTAAAAGTCTGTGAATATATTGGGAATCCTTTAAGTATACTTGTATTTGCCGATTTCAAGTCGTAAATAAATTGATAGATGATTAAGTTAAGAGACAGTATAGACACATAAAAACTAATCCCGACACAGCTTGGAATTAGACATACATAGCTTGTTCCAAGCTGTGTGCAAAAATTAAAATTTTCTTAATTAAAAGCTTAATAGCTCTTAATTAAAAGCCTAAATAAGTAGTGTTCAATATTCAATAGTGTTCTAATTCCAAGCTCTGTTGTATTCCAATACAGCTCAAANTGAGTGACTGACTGCACTGTTCCCATTCTGTCTCTTATACACATCTAGATGTGTATAAGAGACAGCTCCCACACAGTCGTAATATATGGATTTGGAGATTTGCATTCTAAAGGCTTTTAAATAAATATGGCAACATTTTGTGACGTTTCATTGTTGCTGGTGTGTGGTGTGGTCACAGCAGTGTTTTGAGAGTGATGTAAAGCAAACAGAACTCAGGTTGCACATGCGGTGTATTTTTTATAGCCATTTATTTTTGCTACGTCCTTAAAGTGTCGGAATATAGTCAATATACCGTGTTTACCCTAGTAGTCTCATACAGATATTGAATAAAATTTTGAACTTCCTGTTCCTAGATCAGGAAATTAGTAAAATCAAACTGAATTCTAAGAAAATTCTTGTCTAAGAAAATTGAATTCTAAGAAATTGTCCAGTCACCAGTGGCCAACATGCATTTTGATATATACTATATACTATATAGCTAGGCTAAACTCCAAAAATAAAAAAATATTCTTGCACATAAGCTAGGCAGGCTAGGTAGGTAGGTACCTGGTTCCTGAATCAGGTTTTCAAGAATACACAAAATGTACTATATAGTCAAGTTATAACTTAGCTCTCCACAGTCCACACAATATTAGGTAGTACCGTAGTAACTAGGCTAGCCTTTTTACTTGGAATCATAATGTATTCGCTAAGGACGTTCAAACAAATTAACAAAAGAACTGAACAAGACATTTTTGCCCATCTCATACATGGCTGTCCAAAGAAAATAATAAGATGAAAAAATTTTCAATAGTATTCTTAACGTTCAATGGGTGTTAAGAAAATCTACAATATTTGAAAATTGAAATGAAAAGCGGCATCATCAAACAGGACCGTCAACGGTCAGATCGTCGGGTGTCTAAGTAAGCGTCCCTTGTCATGAAGCTTGGCATCACTACCTAGTTACTTCAAAATACGGGAAAATGAGTTAACTCAAGATATAGGACTTACGATATTAGTGTTCTTCCGTAATTATTACTTGGCACATAATTACTTTCGATGCGTATTAACACGAATTTATTCGATGACAACAATAAAATGGGGGAGAGCGTAGGTGCGCCCCCTGTTGTTGTTCACAGTACTAAGCAGAGGATGCTCACCCTCCGTTAGAACCTACTCGTATAATAAACTCGATATAAAATATTTTCAATATTAAATGATACATAATAGGAACCCATACCAATTATATTCATCATAAGTCATTATTTATGTCATTTTTTACCTAATTTTTTTGCATATCATGCGTAAGTGTGTTTTTGAAATGTCGATTTTGTGAGCCATAAATAACGACTCTAATGTTGGCAGTCTAATGCAAAAATTTACTCATTTCAATTACTCCGGCTAGCATATTTCTTTGATTCTTATATTATTTTGATGTCTTCTAAGGGGTTTTTCGAGTAAACTAGAGTAAATGTTTCATGTCCGCCCCTGAACATAGGATACACCCGATCACCTCGCCAACCCACCACCCTGTCATGATACTCCTCCTCTACATAGCAAAGGTTGTTCAAGCTTGTCTAGACAAAAGGGGTTGAGGGGGACTTCCATACGCCATTGTTTCTTCTATAAGACAGATTCCATTATCATATGTTATTATGCATTGATACCAAAATCAAACAGCTCGTGCCTAGAAACTTGTCGACCCGTATGTCAAGCCTCCAAAGCCATGTCAAATTAAAATTCCAACAGGCAGTAAGAGAAAAAAGTTATTAACAAGTGATTTACTATGTACAAACAGTAATACTTAACCAAATTCAATTTACGCTAATATTTCCGTTAATTTTATCGTTTTTGATACTTAGTGAGTAACAGCAGACGACGATCGACCATTCTGGATTAGGATGAAGGTCTATTAAATTCGATTTAGATAGGAATTTGCGATTCATCGCCTTTTATTATAATTTCATGTTAGATAGCAGGCAAACACTTCAACCCATTGAGTAACCTACTCTTTAGACCTGCTATTCATACATTATTATTCCTCAATACCACGATCATGTAAAGTAAACGACAATAAAGATGAAAAAAATTCTAATTGTGATCTTGAAGTTAAACTTCTTGTCTACACCAGACGTCCTTATTTTCCGTTTTTGCTTAAAAATTTAACATCATGGTGACTTCATGATTATAACGTTTTTATGATTGATTATATGATTTATATCACAGTATGAGATTGATATTACAAGATGGTTGTCTTTTCGAGGGAGAGTGATTTGTTTCAATTTTATTATAATGATTCTCAAAATAAAATTTTAAACATAAATTTTAATAAATAAATAAATTAGAAATATATCTACACTATTTAATATTAAATTTATTTTCTATGGTTGATTTTTTGTATGAAGAATATAATCAAATCATAAGAAATTGCTTCTCGGGCGCATATTAACAATATTTATCGTTTCCTGACACATTATCACCAGTGAGAGAATAGTAAAACCATGGTTGAATTAATTCAACCATGAGTAAGACATTACAAAACTGGGAGGAAGGGATTAGAACCATTAGATAAAAAAATAAATTTCGATTTTCTAATTGTTATACAATTAAAGCCTAGGAAATACAGAGAGGCAGTTGAGACGCGATAATAAAAATTTTCGTGTCGGGAGAATCCCGGAACCTGAACATTTATTTATTTTTATTATTGAATTTAGAAAAACTTCACTTTTATTTACTAAGAAGAAAATAATGTGATGAAAGGATTCGGGATAGTCAGATTTGGTAATGACGGAATTCACGAGCGTTATTTGGAATGCTGGAATTCGGAATGACGGGATTCTGATATTCATATTGCATGAACTTTCATCCTGAACAATGTTATTTATGACGAGTATCTTAAAAAGTTGACACAATTTGGATTATGCTTGGACTGAATTGAGGAGTCTGCAACAATAATAAACTTTGGAATATTAATGATAAAACGAGTCTCCCTGGCAAACGGGATATTCAAAATATCAGGGAGCATATATCGCTGGGATTCAGGATACTGGGAATGGCGCAATTCGAGATAACGAAATTCTCAAAATGCAGATATTATCAAGCCTTCACCACTAAGGAATTTAATATTTAAAGATATTAAATCAATTGAAGCAAGGCGAAAAGTACTTCTGAGCAGCTACATATATTTTTAATCGAATGGCTGCGACTTATGAGTCATTGACGCGTGTCTGTGCGCGTCAGAAGTCCTATGGGATTTCGCGCTCCGAGGGGGATTGTTCCTGAGCGCCCCACCGCTGAGCTCGCGGTGTCTGACTGCAGATCTCAGTTGTGAGGTTAAGTTATTATGTAGGTAGGATCCCTTACATTTCCCTTCTCTAGCTGTCACTCTCGTGCGGGCGGCCGACGTCCCGTGTAAGCGACCTATTGTTAGTGTGTTTTCGTTTATGTAGCTTTCCACCTGTCCCTCCTTGTCACTTCGTCTCTTTGAGATGATAACGCTGCTTCCTTCGAGCCAGCTTCGACGGGCTGGACAATTGAGACCTTCCGCCCCTTATGCGTGATGATTAATTTGAGATATTGAATAATTGAGACCTTCCGCCTCGCTGGCGATGTTACATTTTGACCTCCGGTGCGAAATATCTTGATAGCTGAAGCGCTAGCAAACCATCATACTACTACATTGAGTCATTGACCTAAGCAGATTTATCGACGTACGCACCCCGATTTGTGGATCTTAGTTTTTCTCCAAGTGTGATGCTCCAAATCAGATGCATGGTAGCATATATACAATGCTAATTACATAACATAGTGATCTCGGCGCTGCAGTGTAGGCCCTTTTCGTGCCTTGTTCACAGAAGATCGAAATCTTGTCATTTGACCGTATTTTTTTCATGACTGACGAAAGTTTGAAATAGCTACTCGACTTCCACCGGATTCGATATGGTGCTAGGCATTTCAAATCTGAACATATATTTTTCCATAGCTTTATCTTGTCTGTTCTTGAACGCGTTCATACTTGGAGCGCCAACGATGTCATCGGGGAGGCTGTTCCACATGTCGGTGATTCGAAGCGAGAAGAAATTTTGTAGCGTGGAGAAGTTGCAGCGTAGTTTTTTTAGTTTATAGCAGTGGCCTCTGGTGTTGGTTCTTGTTTCAAATTCTAGTAATTCTTCGGGGACCTTGTATAAACCATGAGCATACTTGTATACTTCAATGAGGTCCCCACGCAAACGTCGATAACTGAGGCTTGGAAGCTTCATAATCTTTCTTCATAGGACTTGCCCTTCAAGCCCGGAATTATGCTTGTTGCGCGTCTTTGAACATTCTCTATTAAATTTCTGTCCTTTTCAAAACATTTCCAAACTCAAGATTCGGGCGCACTACAGCAACAAACAGCTGCTTCATCGCTTCTGCATCTAGGAACTCGTATGAGCGTCTGATTAATCAAAGAAGTTTGTTGGATGTGTTAGCTTGCGTTTCAACATGCTTAGAAAATTTTAGCTCTTTGTCGACATAAACTCCGAGATCTTTTTCTCGAGCTGACTGGGCGCTCCTCAATATCTGGAATACTGTTCAAGTCCTCATCTGTGAATACACTGCTGAAGAACTGATTAAGAACGTTTGCCTTGCTCTCATTGGAGGAAATCTTTCGTTGGTCTACTTTCAAATCAGAAATACCGTTCTTTGACTTACACTTCGAACTAGCGTACAAAAAGAAAGCTTTCGGATTCTTTTTTGCATTACGACGCTATTTGCTCATCATATCGGTAGATAAAGTACGGCGATTACTTCATCCAGCGCAGAGTCGTCAAACAAAATTCCGTTATCTATTAGTATGACAACTTGAGCGTATTATAAGTTTGAATGTCGGTCGGCAGGGTGGCCCAGTAGTTACAGTTAAGAGTAGCAGGATTGGCGCAGAGAGGTGCGGGTTCGATCCTCTGTGCGCCAGCTTCTGGTCAGAATCGGCAAGGAGACCGGGCAGCTAAGCACAGTAAAATTGGAGCAGTGAGTTGCGAGTTCGAGACCACAACAAGCTGTGAATGTTCTGCGATGTTAATAATCGGCGAGTGACAGACGGCGACAGGCCTACGGTCTAATAAACGCCGAAACCGACATTATTACGACCACAGTTTCCACTGAAATGTTAGAGCAGATGAACAAAAGCCATCAAATTTTGTTCAGTGCTAGAAAGTGCTATGTAATGTATCGTTCACAAGTTCACGCAAATTAGTAGCTCTAACAATTCTCTTATATCAGAATCATTGAAGCTCAGTGTGGTTGAGTAATAAGGCTCGCCAAGAAATGAGCAGCGCGTAGGGGTTTTGAAGCACACTGAGTTGTGAAAATTTGGATCAAAATCAGTTATGTGGCCGGGCGGTCAAGAATCGGCTGCAGGTCGAAGCGGCCTAACTTAGCCCGACAGTTTTGCTAACATAAATACGCCGTCGTATTGACACACAGCCGTACTCAGAAAACGTGTTTTTATTCATGTATACAATTTCTTAGACATTACTAAAATAAGAAGTGAAATTGAAGCTATCAATACAAAAACCATGCATGGAACGCGACGCTCTGGAGGAAACAAATTTTTAGGAATATACGAGTTCTTTACTGAGAGAATACCAAGTACTGTTACTATCAGGTAAAAGTACTACTACTCACATAGGTACCATCAGTATCTGCGTAACAGTACTCGCATACTGTGCGGCCACAATATGACTTGTAATGAATTCTTAGACACACAGAAACGCAACGCTCAGTAGACAAGGATTCGAACACTGCATTTCTCCGTACCAAGATTTTCCCGTTCCTGGAATCCAATTTAAACCACTGTTACTTTACCAAAATAAAATTTGTTTTTATTTATTAATTAGAAGGATGAAAAATATTATTCCGAATCGTATTTATTATGAATCTAGGGCTGAAAATGTTGGTCAAAGAACTTGGATGCGTAAAAGTAGAGTTCAAAATTAGTAGGCCGCACTGAAGCATTCAGCGCCCACACCATTTGTTCACGGTCACTTTACCGGTATGAAACGGATGGTCAAGTAACATCATTTTAAAGGTTTCTAAAATTAGAAATAGCGAGCTTAGGACTACAAATCGTGCAAGAAATGTTCATGAAATAAAATGAAAAATACCAACAATATCGTTCCACAAGTTTCTGCCACAACAGCTTGGCCAGGCTAAGCAGCAAAAGCAAACAGCGCGCTATTGTACTTTCACTTTTTGCATGAACCTGCCACACAATTCAATAGAAGATATCTGTTCCAAAGTGAACACCTCGTGACATTAGTTACATAGAACATTTGAATGCTTCAAATTGAATATATCTACTTGAATATAATATAACTGCTCAAACGTTTACGAATCCAATACCTCAACTTAAAAAAAAGATCATCTGATGAAGAAATCCGGTCAAGAAAACGTAAAACACATCGCGGCTAGTTGATGTCAAGAGGAAAATATTGCTCCAGGAGTCTTATTGATGATGCAAGAAGTGAGATTCGCACCGATACTATTATTTTGTGTGCACTAGCAGCCTACAACAGTAATAAATCTAGAGTAAGAAAATGGCTAACAGGACGCGGCTACAAATGTATATATAGAATATAATGAACAAGACCAGATCCTATTGACATTTTCCAAGGAAAAAACGTGCCAAACTTTAGTGCAAAAAATATCAGGGTTTATGTCAGTAGCATAAATAATACTGATGACAATAGTGTTAAACAGTGCAAAAAAACATGACTCGCAGTTACTGCTTACAGAATCGGTAAAATGATAAAAAAATCGCACTTCTAGTTGGTAGATCATCATTTCAAAATGTTTAATGTACCTAGTTCTGTTAAGCAATGAAGCCTACCATAGTTCTAGCTGCTTCCATAGAGTTTCAATGCAAATTTCGGAATATTATCAGCATATCAATGACAAACACCGTAAGACATCATCAATAGTTCAAGCATAAAATGGAACCACTTAACAATTTCAACTAATGAAGCAAAATTATTGACTGCTAAGTAAACCAGATAATAGCTATCTAAAGATTTCTTTTCCTGATTTGTTGAAAATTAGTACTCGTACACTTGCTCTTTTCTTTATAGAAGAAAACTTGATATTTCAAAATGATAAAATTTGTTCCAAGATCCATATCAGATAACCAATTATGGTCACCCATGCTTTACAAGAACTCTTCACACCAGTCAAGGAGGCATTGATGGCAATCAGAGGCTTGTTTGGTATTGCTTCCAGCAGTTTCTTTCATCCAGTCCACGAAAAGTTCCTTATTTTTCTTCAAAATGAGGAACTGGCCAAGCACAACATAAGCCTGAAAAATTAACTGTGTAAATATCAGGATAAAAAGCATCTATGAACAATTAAAATTGCCATACAAATCAAGTTTAATCACACAAATTTGGCAGTAAAGATACAGAAAATACTTACTTTGGTGAACATTTCAACACTGTTAAAAGTATATTAAAGTGTCATATTTTGTTTCATTTGATATTACTCAACAACATTCACCGAATTTCACCATCAACCTAATAATGCAATATAAGAGCAAATTGCAAACCTCGCTGAAGCCTTTGCTCTTTAACCGCTGGCCAAGTACTGGCCCTATGCCTGCCAGGTCTGTGACAGGTTTGTCACCCATGGGCTCAGCCACAAAGTTGCGATGCTTCTGACTTGTTGTTGACATGATGGAAAACTGAAAATTATTTCAATGAATTAATGACCAAAATTTAACAAAATAAATTAAAGATGACTACTCAGAAACTCTGCACGCACACTGACAGGCATAAATATAGGGGAGGCATGTGCTCCATTTATGGTGCTGGCTGCCAGGCATTCACACAAACACACTTTAACCAATAACACATTCTTATTTCTATCAAGTTTATTTTCATAAATTACAAATAGAAGACTATTTACTTGTAGCCTTTTAATTTGTTCTACAACCCGTTTGCTTCAGTACCATCAAACGGGGTAATGAGGTAATGGGGTAATGTTTTGAGCATTTTTTGTTAATAACTTCTTACCATGAAACATTCCATAAACAAGTTTGGGTTCATTTTATAACTCTTTGCAAGAGCTATCATATGGCATCTTAAAAAAAATCCCTGTGCTATTTGTAAGGTGTCAGACAGGGTTGGCGATTTTTTTGATTTTATAAAAAAAATCAAAAAAATAAAAAATCAATGATTTTTTTTTTGTGATTTATTTGATTTATTTTTTTATTTTTTCAACTTCTTTGTCTTTTTGAAGTGTTATTTTTATGTTGCAATTAGCCTACTAACAATAACAGTATATGGTTCATAATGGATGGCTAAAAAGGGCACTTATTGCCTTCAATAATGGCCAACAGGTCAAGGTGGTGTTTACCACTTAGGGATTTTTGGGTATACAATTATTGGTAAGTCTATTCATTAGCTTTGTAAAGTTTGTATGGAGCAAGGTAATGAGCTAAATATTGACCATTTAACTGGCTTCAATATACATTCAGGGAACTAAAAATGAATTGAATTCTATTTCTGATATCAGAATTAGCTATCATATACTTATAGGGTAAACGCGGTATATTCCGACATCATGGGCAATTTCAACACTTCTTGAATTTTTTTCTTTCATATTAAGCTTTTTCTTAGTTCCATCATCCATGCATTCGTTGATGGTTGAAATAGTGACGTCATACTTTTGCGCGTCATACTATTGCCAAAACACTAGGTCTGGGCCATCTGGTGGGAAAATCTTGATATCCAAAGAGAGACAGTGCACGTCACCCAGTGAGAACATCAAAAAATAAGTCAAAGTTGATAGTTAACCTTGCTCTACCAAATAGTGATAATCTTTGTGTAGAAAGAATATTATGGTTTGAGACTTTTAAAAATGTCTGTAAATTTATTAGGAATCCTTTAAGTATACTTGTATTTACTGATTTCAAGTGGTAAAAAAATTAATAGATTATCAAGTTAAGAGATAGGGTAAACGCGGTATATTCCGACATCATGGGTAATTTCAACACTCCTTGACTTTTTTCTTTCATATTAAGCTTTTTCTTAGTTCCATCATCCATGCATTCGTTGATGGTTGAAATAGTGACGTCATACTTTTGCGTGTCATACTATTGCCAAAACACTAGGTCTGGCCGTCTGGGCCGTCTGGTGGGAAAATCTTGATATCCAAAGAGAGACAGTGCGCGTCACCCAGTGAGAACATCGAAAAATATGTCAAAGTTGATAGTTGACCTTGCTCTACCAAATAGTGATAATCTTTGTGTAGAAAGAATATTATGGTTTGAGACTTTTTTAAATGTCTGTAAATTTATTAGGAATCCTTCAAGTATACTTGTATTTACTGATTTCAAGTGATAAAAAAATTAATAGATTATCAAGTTAAGAGATAGGGTAAACGCGGTATATTCCGACACTTTAAGGACGCACCGAGAAATGAAAAACTATTAAAAAAAAACGTATGCGTTACGTAAGTTCTGTTGCCTTCACATGACTCTCAAAACACTTCACTACGCGTCAGCAATGATGAAACGTCACAAAAT